GCCTGGCTGGGCGCAGTGGCTCATGCCTGTAATTCCAGCACTTTGGGAGGCCAAGACAGGTGGATCACCTAAGGTCAGGAGTTCGAGAGCAGCCTGGTCAACATGGCGAAACCCCGTCTCTACTAAAAATACAAGAAAAAAACCAGTAGCTGGGCGTGGCGGCAGGCACCTGTAATCCCAGCTTTTCAGGAGGCTGAGGCAGGAGAATCGCTTGAACCCAGGAGGTGGAGGTTGCAGTGAGCCGAGAGAGCACCACTACACTCTAGCCTGGGTGATAAGAGCAAAACTCTGTCTCAAAAAAAAAAAAAAGCCTTTAATTTCTTCTGTTTCCTTGGTTGTTTCACGTTTCCAGTGTCTCTTAAAATACTACTGTTCATCAGTAGATTGCTTACTTATTTGTGGTATTAAATGTACTACTCTTTAGATGTTTTGGGAAGTAATCATTTTACATAAGACACATTTGCTTTGTGCTCAACCTTTAAAGGAATCTTTTGCCTCCAGCTCCTAAGATGACTGATTGATTCCCTATACTTTCTTACATATTAATCAAGAAATCTGAGGGAGTAAAGGAACATTAGTAACTCCTAGCATCATTTCTTAAAAACCCAATAATTATTTATTGTTTGATGAAGTGAACACATTATAAATTGCCCCTAGGATTGTGGTAAACATCCATATTAAGTATACCAACATTTCATTTGGTAACTATTTATTAAATGCCTAGTATATGTAAAGCACTATTTTAGGTACTAACAATGGAACAATGTTCCTTTGAATACTGGAAGGTTTACAGGTTGACAACTATCTGTTCTCATTTGAGTTTCCTAGAGTTAATTTAGCAGAATCAGAGTTAACATAGAACCTCAGAATACCTAGTTCAACTCTCTTGTTTATAGATTTTAAAACTCTTCAATCCTGAGATGTAAAATAATTTTTCTAAGATCACATAGCTAGTTAATAGCATTGCTTGCTTTTTGTTCTTTTAGTTACTATTCATTCAGCAAACATTCTCAAATCTTTTCTCTTAAAAAGGTCAAGAGTGACCAAAAAAATCCATCATCAACCTGCAGACTTCTATCAGCCCCATCCTATTTTTCACTGACTTTTTATAATCATACTTTTTTGAAAGAGCTGACTTCTTCCTTATCTTCCTTTCAGCTCACTGCAGTCTTGACTCAGCACTCATAACTCTATTGAAAGTGCTTTCCCCAAGGTCACCCACAGCTTCATAGTTGCTATATTCCTGGGGCACTTTTAATCCTTATCTCTTTTATCTCTCTGTGGCATTTGTCATTGTTAATTATTCATTTTTTTAATGTTTTCTTACCTCCGGGATACCATATTCTCCTGGTTTTATTTCCACTTCTCAGATAATTTCTTAGATTTCTTCATAAGTTCTTCTTTGTCATTCGTCTTTCAAATATTGGTATTTCCCAGGATACTCACTGTCACCTTTCTCTGTGTATTCTCCTTGAGCAGTCTCATCCACTTCTGTCACATCTGTTGCCATCTAAATGCTGAAGACTTCCAAATCCTTCTTCTGACTCATATTCTTTCTCTTGGGCTTTGAACTCACATACGCAGCTGCCTACTAGACATCTTCAAGATATCTATTAGGGATCTCAAAATCGTCATCTCTGAAATTTAGCTATCACTGCATTTGTTCCTTTTTTTGTTGTTTTTTTTTTTTGTTTTGTTTGTTTTTTGGTTTTGAGACAGGGTCTTACTCTGTCTCCCAGGCTGGAGTGCAGTGGTGCAATCTCAGCTCACTGCAACCTCCGCCTCCTGGATTCATGCGACTCTCCTGTCTCAGCTTCCTGAGTAGTTGGGATTACAGTCGCCTGCCACCACGCCTGGCTCATTTTTATATTTTTAGTAGAGACTGGGTTTCACCATGTTGCCCAGACTGGTCTTGAACTCCTGACCTTAGGTGATCCGCCAGTCTCAGCCTCCCAAAGTGCTCAGATTACAGGTGTGAGCCACTATGCCTGGCCTGTTCCTGTGTTTTTTATCTTGATGACTTAATACCACAATTCATCTAGTAGGCAGCTCCCTAGAAATTAAGGAGTAATCAGCAGCAGCCTCTACCCGATTACTCCCTAAATTCTATCAGTTCTAGTGCTTTATCTTTCATCCATCCACATCTTTAGAGCCAATATTTTATTTTCAGGCCCTTATTCTAAATTATCCCTGGCTGGGCACAGTGGCTCACACCTGTAATCCCAGCATTTTGTGAGGCCGAGATTGGCTGATCACGAGGTCAGGAGATCAAGACCATTTGGCCAACATGGTGAAACCCCTTATCTACTAAAAATATAAAAATTAGCCAGGCATGGCAGTGCGCACCTGTAGTCCCAGCTACTCGGGAGGCTGAGGCAGCAGAATTGCTCGAACCCTGGAGGCGGAGGCTGCAGTGAGCCGAGATCATACCACTGCACTCCAACCTGGGTGACAGAGCGAGACTCCATCTCAAAAAAAAAAAAAAATTCGTATGGCCTTTATTAATATGCAATAAAATACACAGTAATGATTAAGAACATGGACTTTAGAGTCAGGGAGTCCCATGTTTAGATCCTTGCTCTGTCACTTAGCATCTATGGGTGCTGTGAATATCAGTTTTCTTGTCTGTAAAACAGGAATATTGCAATTTACTTTGTAGAGTGATGATGAAATGTAAATTTATGGTCCTGGGAACACAGTATGTGGTGCATGTAAGCTCTCAATGAAAGATGTGACTACTCTAACTGACCTATTGGACATCATTCTCCATTGTGTTTAGAATGAGTCATTTACACAAAATTTTAGCACTCTCATGCTAAAAATCCTTCTTCAGTAGTTCCTTATTGCCAGCAGGACAATATCCAAATGACTTAACTGATATTTTAAATGGTCTTCTATGTAAATGCAAATGGTTTTATTCCTCTTTAGCTTTTTTTCTTGCTGCTGTCTTCCCTATTTATACCCCAGCTACACTACAATAAATTAACAGTTCCTCAAAAGCACCTCTGCACTTTTTTTTTTGGTTTTTGTTTTTTTGTTTTTGAGATAGAGTCTTGCTCTGTTGCCCAGGCTGGAGTGCAGTGGTGCAATCTCGGCTCACTGCAACCTCCACCTCCCAGGTTCAAGCCATTCTCCTGCCTCAGCTTCCCCAGTAGCTGGGATTACAGGCATGCACCACCACACCCGGCTAATTTTTGTATTTTTAGTTGAGACGGGGTTTCACCGTGTTGGCCAGACTGGTCTCGAACTCCTGACCTCAGGTGATCTGGCCATCTCAGCCTCCCAAAGTGCTGGGATTACAGGCGTGAGCCACCGCACCTAGCCACCTCTGCACTTTTGAATATCTATGCATTACCTGGAATACCTTTTTCTGTAGCTAGATTATTTTTCTCCTTCAGGACTCAGCTTACATGTTATCTTCTTTGGGAACTCTTTCATGACTACTTTTGACTCTGACTTAAGTTTTCCAACATGGGGCCCATGTCTTCTCCTACCATAGCACTCCTTACACTATATTGTAGTTGCCTGTTCCCTCATCTGTTTCCTTCAATGTATTTTGAATGTTTAAAATTAAAGAAGTTTCAGGAACGTTGAAGTTTAGTTATTAGATATTTATCTGCAGAAACATGAAAAGTTCTCAAGAGGGTGTCCTTTTTACTGCTGTGCACAAGATAAACTTGCTCCTTCTTACACATACTACCCTCATGTTAGCAAAAGGAAATATGTATGTAATTTTTGAAGTGTCATTATTTGGGATGTAAAGATCCCCAAAAAGACTCAGTGCTGTCATCTGTATAAAATAGAGTAGCTTAAAGAGTTTTAGTTGAGTACTTTTTAAGTGTTTCTACATTAGCCTTTGCTCAGATAATTAGTCTTCATTGCTGTTTTAAATGTTGGTATTTGCATGTGTCTTACTCATTAGTCAGTGAGAAGAATATGAGCTCTTATATCAGATAGTCCTAGTTTCAACCCCTTGCTAATAATTACTGTTTCTTAGGATCAATATAAACACTAAACTATATAATAGTAAGCCCTTAAACCAGTGCCTGGTGGGTTGTAGGCACTCGATAAATTTAAAAAATGTTAAGACAAGGTCTTGCTCTGTCACCCAGGCTAAAATGCAGTGGCACAATTATGTCTCACTTCAGCCTCGACCCCATGGGCTCAAGTGATCTTCCTACCTCAGCGTCCCCAGTAACTGGGACTACAGGCATTCTCCACCATGTGCAGTGAATTTTCTGTGTTGCCCACACTGGTCTCAAACTCTTGGATTCAAGCAATCCTCTCACCTGGGCCTCCCAAATCACTGGGATTACAGGCATGAGCCACTGCACCCGACTTGAAATTTCCTTTTGGACTTTTCAAATGTTCCTTATGGAATCTTATGTGGCCATCTAATTAAATCTGTTTACCCATCCAACCTTAGATTAAAGCCCATCCTCCTATGAAGATTTCTCCAACTTTGCTACAGTTAGAGTTAATACAATAACTTCATCTCCGTAATTGGTCTGTCTGCTAGAATGTTAACTATTTGAGGGCATGGCACTGTCTTACATTTATCTTTCTTCCCCTGACATTTTGCAGAGTGCTGAGATATAAGAGAATATAAGATAAATTCAGTACACATTTGTTGCCTAATTGAGTTTTTTCAGTGTGCTGCTCTGCCGCCTCACTTTACTAGCAGTAATGTGTGTCACAGGAATGACTAACAATCTTAATCAACCTAAGTAAACCATATTTATAAAGGAAATTTGTTGAAAGCAATTATACTGAGTATTCCATAGCTAACTCTAACTGTTTCAGAGTGTCAGTGTCACTGCCCCTTCTATTGGGACAGATAACTAAGAAATGAATACATTAAATGGTTCCCAACATTAAATTTGGTTATATGAATTTCCTTGAGAATAAACCAGTTTTGCTATTTTCCACTTATTGTTTCTTCTAGATCAGTTTTCTGTGATCCTGTAATTCATTCTCGCAAATTTGAATGTGTCTTACAGGAGGATTTGTTGGTATTGAGGAAAACAGTGAAATCCTTTTTGGCTGTTTGCCAGCAGTGCCTGTCTAATGTTAATACTCCAGTGAAAGAACAGGTAAGAAATTATCAGTAAGAGCTCTCAATAAAATCAACTCAAATACAGTAATGAACATTAAGAAGATACAATTTTTGCCGGGCGCGGTGGCTCACGCCTGTAATCCCAGCACTTTGGGAGGCCGAGGCGGGCGGATCATGAGGTCAGGAGATCGAGACCATCCTGGTTAACAGGGTGAAACCCCGTCTCTACTAAATATACAAAAAAAATTAGCTGGGCGTGGTGGCGGGTGCCTGTTGTCCCAGCTACCCAGGAGGCTGAAGCAGGAGAATGGCGTGAACCTGGGAGGCAGAGCTTGCAGTGAGCCAAGATTGCGCCAGTGCACTCCAACCTGGGCGACAGAGTGAGACTCCGTCTCAGGGGAAAAAAAAAAAAAGATACAATTTTTTTATGGCAGTTCTTAGTACACATGTTCATTCCTAACATTTACTGGACCTAGAACAAGACTGTAGATGTGTGAATATTTATGTTATAAAGCAAGCTAACAAACTTATTATATAATATACATTCTTTCCTTTTACTTTCACAAGTATATTGTCATCAGCTGGAAGGGCAGGTTGAAATGTAGACTTTTTGACTCCGAAGAATTCTACACCAGAATGGCCCGGTGCAGTGGCTCACGCCTATAATCCCAGCACTTTGGGAGGCCAAGGCTGGTGGATCACGAGGTCAAGAGATCAAGACTATCCTGGCCAACATGGTGAAACCCCATCTCTACTGAAAATACCAAAAAAATTAGCCAGGCATGGTGGCAGGCACCTGTAATCACAGCTACTTGGGAGACTGAGGCAGGAGAATCTCTTGAACCCGGGAGATGGAGGTTGCAGTGAGCCAAGATCATGCCATTGCACTCCAGCCTGGGCAAAAAGAGCGAAACTGTGTCTCAGAAAAGAAAAAAAAAAAAATTCTACACAGAATATTGAGTGTCTGGGGAGCTGACATATGACATACCCTTTTATCATCTTACCTTCAGCTCCTTCCCACACCAGTTAGAGTTTCTAACACATGCATGCCAACACTTTAGCCCCGCATTGAAACTCTGTCCATACCACCTGCCCAAACAGCTGCCCATTGACCACCCAGAGGCCTAGTAATATGTACATTGGGTCTGCAGTATGCCTAAAGAAGAGGCCTTTGCAGGCTCAGACAACAGGCTCAGGACTGTTAGGGCAAGGAGTCTCTGAGTCCCTATACTTGGACAGTGGCGTAGAAGTGGGGTTTGGTAAGCAGGTGGACATATCCTATTGGTCTAATAGATTCCTCATTTCTTGCAGAGGGGCAGGGTCAGGGTGGGCCAGGGAAATACTGTTTCCATGATGTGATTTTGTAAACTATTTTTTAAATAGACTGTTGTATTGGGGAGTACATTTGTGTAAAACAATGTGTATTTTCCATACTATTTCTTATTTGGATATTGGGCTAGAGTCAGTTAATCTGGTGAAAGAGTACAGTATTACTTATCCTTTGCTATCTCTTCTTACAAATAGTGACAAGTATCTTTATTGAGTTATCAGCATTTAACTTAAAATGGAAACAGAGATGGTCTTCCCTAAACCTTATTCTTTAAATATTCAGAAGACTACTTATGCTGTGGAGAAATACCCAGCTCTGCCTTTTATTTTATTATTTTTATTTTTTTTATTTTTATTTTTTAACTTTTTATTTTATTTTGAGACGGAGTCTCCCACTGTCGTCTGGGCTGGTGTGCAGTGGCGCAAACTCAGCTCACTGCAACCTCCACCTCTCAAGTTCAAGCAATTCTCCTGTCTCAGCCTCCCAAGTAGCTGGGATTACAGGCGCCCACCACCACACCTGGCTAATTTTTTTGTATTTTTAGTAGAGACGGGTTTCACTATGTTGGCCAGGCTGGTCTCAAACTCCTGACCTCATGATCCGCCTGCCTCGGCCTTCCAAAGTACTGGGATTACAGGTGTGAGCCACTGCACCCGGCCTAGCTCTGCCATTTAAACCCCAAATCCAGTGTTTCTGCATCATACCTGCTTGGTGATGTCCAAAACTATGGCCTTCTGGTTAAAAAGTATTTCCCCTGGATTCTCTTTATGCTCCCCTTTTTTCAAATGGCTCTTTCTAAATACCTTAGTATATTTCATGGTTATGCTGTCAGGGCGCGAATTGCCAAGACTCTTGCTGCAGTTGGACAACCAGATATACAGGCATTCCAAACTAAATGCCAAAATTGTGTTTTCCCATAGAAATCAACTTTGGAGGGGGCAGTGTTAGTGGATTGTTGGGAGGTTTCAGAGCCCTCAATTATCCCACAACAAAATCTTTCCATTGTAACAAACTGATCAGACCCATTTATTTCACTCAATTCATTAAACAGGGCAAATTTGGCACCATACCTATAATGTGTACAAATGTATTCAGTTTCTTTATATAATTAAATTTGTTTGTAGGCCTTATTAGATACTGGTTTTTATATTAATGGTTTTCTAATACAGTCATGCACCACTGAACAACAGGGATACATTCTGAGAAATGTGTTGTTAGGCAATTTCATCATTGTATGACCATCATAAGAGTATATTTACATAAACAAATAGTATTGCCTACCACATGCCATTGCTGTATGGTATAGCCTATTCCTCTTAGGCTACGATCCTGTACTGTATAATACTATACTGAGTACTATAGATAATTATAATACAACGGGTATTTATGTATCTAAACATATCTAAAATACAGTATAAAAGATTTTAAAATGGTACACTTACCATAGGAATGGAAGTAGCTCTGAGTGATTGAGTGAGTGAATGAGTGAGTGAGTGATTGGTGAATGAATAGGAAGGCCCAAGACATTACTATACACCACTGTAGACTCTATATGTACCATACACTTAGACTACACTAAATTAATTAAAATGTTTTTCTTGGCTGGGCGTGGTGGCTCATACCTGTAATCCCAGCACTTTGGGAGGCCGAGGCAGATGGATCACGAGGTCAGGAGATCGAGACAATCCTGGCTAACATGGTGAAACCCTGTCTCTACTAAAAATACAAAAACAAAATTAGCCAGGTGTGGTGGAGGGCACCTGTAGTCCCAGCTACTCGGGAGGCTGAGGCAGGAGGATGGTGTAAACCCAGGAGGTAGGGAGCTTGCAGTGAGCCGAGATCTAGCCACTGCACTCCAGCCTGGGCGAAAGAGGGAGATTCCGTCTCAACAACAAAAAAATGTTTTTCTTTCTTCAATAATTAATTAACCTTATCATACTGTAATTATTTTGCTTTATAAACTTTTTAATTTTTTTAACTTTTAAACTCTTTTGTAATAATACCTAACACACAACACATTAAACAGCTGTACAAAAAAAAAATTTTTTTTTTTTTGAGACAGAGTTTTGCTCTTGTTGCCCAGGCTGGAGTGCAGTGGCACAATCTTGGCTCACCCCATCCTCCACCTCCCAGATTCAAGCGATTCTCCTGTCTCAGCCTCCCTAATAGCTGGGATTACAGGCATGAACCACCACACCTGGTTAATTTTGTATTTTTAGTAGAGATGGGGTTTCTCCATTTTGGTCAGGCTGGTCTCGAACTCCTGACCTCAGGTGATCCGCCCACCTTGGCCTCCCAAAATGCCAGGATTACAGGTGTGAGCCATCGCGCCTGATCAAAATATTTTTTTCGTATATCCTTATTCTAGAAGCTTTTTTTTAATTTATTTTTTAAGACAGAGTCTCACTTTGTCACCCAGGCTGGAGGGCAGTGGTGTGATCTTGGCTCACCACATCCTCTGTCTCCTGGGTTCAAATGATTCTCATGCCTCAGCCTCTGAACATAATTGGGATTACAGGCGTGTGGCTACCATGCCTGGCTAATTTTTGTATTTTTTAGTAGAGACAGGGTTTCACCATGTTGCCAAGCTAGTCTCAAACTCCTGGCCTCAAGAAATCCACCTATCTCAGCCTCCCAAAGTGCTCGTATTAACAGGTGTGAACCGCTGCATCCAGCCTATTTAATTTAAAAAAAAAAAAAAACATTTTTGTTAAAAAATAAGAAACAGGCCAGGCGTGGTGGCTCATACCTGTAATCCCAGCACTTTAGGAGGCTGAGGTGGGTGGATCATCTGAGGTCAGGAGTTCGAGACCAGACTGACCAATATGTTGAAACCCCATCTCTACTAAAAATACAAAAAAATAGCTGGGTGTTGTGGCATGCACCTGTAGTCCTAACAACTTGAAAGGCTAAGACAAGAGAATGGCCTGAACCCAGGAGGCAGAGGTTGCAGTAAGCCGAGATCGTGTCACTGCACTCCAGCCTGTGAGAAATGGGAAAGTTCTTCAAAGATTATAAAAAGTCACAATTTCTTACTATAAGATTGCTATCCAGTGTGTGTGTGTGTGTGTGTGTGTGTGTGTGTTCTCAATCAGCTGCCTTAGCTTGCTCCAGCATGCCTGGACAGAACTAGACAAGCTCCAGCCCATAGTGCATGCCATTCCTTATTTGGAGATGCTTAACTATCCCTGGGCAACTTCCTTTTCTTTCTTTGTTCTGTCCCCCTTACCTAATTGAGAAAGTTTTAAACTAATAGCCAGTCGGGTAAAGTGTAAAATGTGAGGTCCTATTCCAGCCAATGGAAACTGGACACAGCAGTAGGGTAGACGTGTCAGTCTCCTTTGGGTAGGAGGGTAGAGTGTGCTCTCGTGACTGGACAGTTATTGAGTAGCACCCTTTCTGCAGAAAGTAAAGCTCGCCTTTACTTTCATTGTTCATTTGTTTCATCATTTGTTCCCATGTTAATTCTTTTTTTGTGTGACACCAAAAACTTCATTCCCAGCAAGCCTGGGTGACAGAGCAGGACGCTGTCTTTAAAAAGAAAAGAAAAGAAACACACACATTAGCCTAGGCCTACAAAGTGTCATAATTACCAGTATCAGTGTCTTCCACCTCCCACACGTCTCATTGGAATGTCTTCAGTGGCAGTATTTTGCATGGAGCTGTCCTATCCTATGATAACAATGCATTCTTCTGGAGTACCTCCTGAAGGACCTGCCTGAGGATGTTTCACAGTTAACTTTTTTCATAAGTAGGAGTACACTCCAAAATCATGATTAAAAGTGTAGAATAGTACAATACAGTATAGTATAGTATAGTATAGTATAGTATAGTATAGTATAGTATAGTATAGTATAGTATAGTAAATACATATGCTGACAACATATTCATTATCCTCAAGCATTAAGTTCTATACACAAGTTGTATATGCTATGCTGTTATATGACTGGCATCATAATACACCAGCATCACCACAAACAACATCACAACAAACTTGTGAGTAATGTGTTGCACCACAGGGTTATGTAGCTACTACATCACTAGGTGATAGGAATTTTTCAGCTCCATTACAAGCTTATGGGATCCACCATCATGTATATGCAGTCCATTGTTGACGGAAACATCAATGTGCAGTAGTACACTGACAGAATTTTTTAACATCAGAATTTTTAGAAGTATTCATTATACTATGTTGAATTAGAGTTTCAAATTTTATGCTAATTTGATTAAGCAGTATACAATTGATTTCTAATCTTTGTTATAATCTGTTATATCAATTTTGTATTTCCAGAGTTGAGTTAAACTCATTTTGTTCTTTTGACCTGTGATCAACATCTTGCTTAAACTCATTTTTTAAAAGTTCAAGTCAAACTATCTTAATGAGCTGTTTTTGAGTTGATAAAGCAGAGTAAAAGAAATAGGTTATATTTGGGAAAAGTCTTAAATAAGACAAGTGTTTAGTGAGAAAAAGTAATTTTATTAAATTTGGAAATTGTAACTAAATATTTGGAATTTAAATACTTAAAATTTATATTATGGTATTGCTATTAAACTATGTTTTAATTTCATATGTTTTCATTAATGTTGACTTGTAGTTACATTTGTGTAGTATTTTGCTGATGAATTGCCTTTGTATTCCAGGCTTTCATGTTACTCTGTGATCTTCTGATGATTTTCAGCCATCAATTAATGACAGGTGGCAGAGAGGGCCTTCAGCCTTTGGTGTTTAATCCAGATACTGGACTCCAGTCTGAACTTCTCAGTTTTGTGATGGATCACGTTTTTATTGACCAAGACGAGGAGAACCAGAGCATGGGTACTTGTAGCTATCATCTTGTCAATATTGATTTTGTTTTACCAACCCCAAAAGATAGGAGAAAAGAAACAAATTCAATTGTAAAAATTATCGAGATTTCTTTCTTTTAAAAAAGTTGGCTGGGTGCAGTGGCTGACACCAGTAATCCTAGCACTTTGGGAGACCGAGGCAGGAGGATTGCTTGAACCCAGAAGTTCAAGAGCAGCCTGGGCAATATGGTGAGACCTTGTCTCTACAAAACAGAAAAAAACTAAAATTTAAAAAAAAAGTTAATAGTAGTTCAGAAACCAACAAGAATAAAAATGTACATAGTGAAGTCTCCCTCCTTTAACATTGTACCTCAGATCTTTTCCTGTCGTTATATAAAGAGCTCTTTCTCTAACAGCTCTACAGCATTTCTTTATGTAGATATAGCATAATACGTATAATCCATCTCACATAAATTGACATATGGCTAGTTTCCAGTCATCAACTATTATAAACTATGGTGTAATGAATAGTAGTGTACATTTGTCATTTCCCACATGTACAAATGTGTATGTAGGATAGATGTTGTTTCTAATTGGCTATATCCGGGTTCATACTTTTTCTAAAGGAAAGTATCCAGGTTCCATTCTGTTCCTAAGTGGTCATTATGTATTACTTAAATGAACAAAACATAACTGTTTGATATTAAATGCTGAAAAAGTGTTATTAAACCTCACTAGTGAAAGTTGTGCTGTGCCTGCAGAGTGATAACTTAGCAATATTAGACTGAATTGTTAATGATTAGTTGTAAATAAGTGTCACTTAGAATAGGTTATTTGTGAAATAGATTATTTAAGCTCTGTAAAATAATGTAAGAAGTATATTTGATCCACAAATCTATTTGATACTGTTCAGCTGTTCTTTTAGAACATTTTGGAAAATACTAGTCTGTAAAACAGTATGTTTATTTAGAGTCTGTTTTCATCTCAAGAGACAAATTTACCTGCTACTTGTCTTAAGCAAAAAAATGTCCACTTGTCAAACCACTGATGCTTCACAATAAGACTATTTAGTAGAAAGGAGAGACTGCCAGCAAATTCTTTTTATGAATCTATACATGTAAGGAAGAGAAAAAAGAAGATAAGGGCAGGCCAGGACAGGAGAGGGTCAGTACGGAGCCTGAAACAAATGTTATCATCTGGAGTGTTGTTGGCGTGTTTTTTCTAGGATTAGAAATAGAAAACCCAGTAGAGTCTGAAACTTATAAATTTAAGAAAGAAACACACTTGTTTTGAAAGTGTTTGATAGGGCTTTAAAATTTTTTTTGATGTGCATAACATGGTTTGCAAAATATTTTGTTTCTCAGTTGATAATGTAACCATGTTTAGGATGAGCACTGAAAATTTAACTCATCCATATTTCCATTTCTTCCCTAAATATTTTTCTGAAAGAAAACTTTTTCCCTGTGTCTTAAAAATTTTCAGAAGTGTTCTCTCTGTGAAAATGTATTAACACATAAGGAATATTGAAATAAGAAAAGACAGCATTTTAAAGGTAAACAGATAATTTCACAGTATTGCTTTGACACAAGTATCAGAAAAACAATCTTTTTATACAGCTGTCCCTCAGTATTGTGGGGGATTGGTTCGAGGACTCCCACTCATACCAAAATCCATGGATGCCCAAATCTCTTAAATAAAATGGTATAGTATAGTCAGCCCTCCCTATCTGTGGGTTCTGCATCCACAGATAGGGAGGGTAGACTACATATGGTTTGCTTATCTTATTCAGTCTTTACTATGGTAATCTCCTAAGAAGATAGGAACCTTAGTACCTATTTAGTGTTTGATAAATAAGTAACTAAATACAGCACCCTAAAATAATTAATGTAACAGTTTTTGTCCCATCTAAAACTGATTTGTACTATTTGTGAAGTTATAATATTAAGCTAATTTTCAATTATACAGATATCCGCATTGTTTTACGTGGATAAAGTACCAGAATTCATAACCAATTTATAATCTGTGTTTAGAGGGTGATGAAGAAGATGAAGCTAATAAAATTGAGGCCTTACATAAAAGAAGGAATCTACTTGCTGCTTTCAGCAAACTTATCATTTATGACATTGTTGACATGCATGCAGCTGCAGACATCTTCAAACACTACATGAAGGTATAGTTAAATATTCTTATTTTTCTCCTTCCTCTAACTGGCAGAGAAATTTGCAATTGAAAGGATGAAGACAGAAGCTAAAATTGACAGCTTTTCACCTGTGTAATGTGGATGATTTTATGATAAAGTTTCTCTCTTTTCTATAAGCTTTTTATCAGTCTGTACTATTATATCCGTTCCACTGAGTAGGAGTTCGAGCATTTATATGAAAGAACATACTTTTTAGCTACTTTCATAAGTTCCATTTTGTTCCTGACCCTCTGAAAAAGCAGTGCTCAGAACTCTTCTTGATGTGGCCCGACAGGCACAGATGGGAGGAAATACTTCTCAGTTTTCCTGTATTTGCCTTGTTCTTGTGTCACAGAGAATATTCTCTTTTGCCTCTATTTAGAATTTTGTATGTGCCATTTGATCTACTTGTGTCTTCATGTTTGGATATGGTCCAATTCCAGTTATGATATAGTAGCTGATTTATCATATTTTGCTGAACAATTGTAGTGTGATGAGTAACGTGCTGGTAGCCAGAGGTTTAAGTAAGACATGATTTCTGCACTAAGGAGCTTACAGATTAAGAGTTAACTAATATGTAAACATAATGTAGCATACTGATAATGAATGACTGCCGTGTGTTCATGCCATTTATATTTGAGACACTGTTCTAAGACTTTCACATTATCATTGATCTTTCTAATAACCCTGTGATGTAAGAAATAGTATCATCATTTACATATAAGGAAACTAAGGATCAAGAGGTAAACCTTCCAAGGTCACACACAACTATTAAAGTAACAGAAACTGGGATTTTATTTTAGGTTTGTGTAACTTCAAAGCTTAGCTCTTTTCACTGGACCACAAAGCTTCAGCATGATTATTGTTGTGATAGATGTATAAATTACTAACCTAACACCAAATATAGACACTTACGTGAGAAGAGCAAGAGAAGAATTCCTAAAGCTAATATGTAAACAGAGTTGCATGGATGAATAGGAGCTTACTAGATGAGCATGGGAAGGAAGACAAGCCCTTGCCAAGACAGCAGCATAAATATACCTACCTGTTTCAGCTCATTTTTCTCTACTTAGTCCACAAGGAAGTCATGAAAGAGCTTGTCAAACTAATTATTGATATCCAAATAGACTGTGATATTTGCATGTTGAACCTTTCTAAAAGAAAATGTCATGATCTGTTAGTAAACTTCTGCTTGCTTCCAATGACCATTTCCTTTCCAAATATTCGCAGGCATTACATTTAATAATGTATTCTGTAATCTTAGGCTCAGCATCGAGCTCACTGATGGTATTGTTCAGAATAGTTATTCCTCATCCTGATTTTCCATTGGTCACCTGGAACATTATTGCAAATTGCATGTTCCTGGGTCCCACTCAACCTAATGAGAAATATCTAGGGTGGATCCCAGGCATTTGTGGAGGAGGGGTTAATTTTCCATATAACCTTCTTTCCCTTTGGAAAATCAGAACTATGATTATCTTTCTCTGTCCTCTAGCATCTTTCCTATTCTTTACCATTTCTTAAAGAGTACAAAGTTTCCATAATCTCCACAAATTTTGTTAAGACACAATTCATCTGGCCTAGGAAACTAATTCAGTTTGGAACAACTTGATGCTTTCATTATCTCTTCACTAAACCTGGATGTTAGTTCCATTTTATAAGTGTTTATCCTACCCTTTTTATATAGTTTTCTCTTTAGCAGGAAATAAAGAGGCATAAAATGTGTTGAGTTCTGGTTTTTCCTGGTAATCCTTTAACAATAGTTCATTGGTTCCAAGAAGCAAGTCTTATTCAGAATTTTTATCATCCTTAACATTTCAGGGACACTTCTGTTCATTATAGGCTCTAACCTTTTTGTGAGTATTGTAATAGCTATTTGCTCTTCTGATATATGGCTATGTGGCTTTTCCTCCATCTTTTGTACATAATTAGTTCAATCTGAACTTAAAAGAAATCTGCCTGCTCCAGTACTTTAGTGTTTTGATATTTCTCTTTTTTCTTCATTGAGATAATTCTTCTTTGCACTAAAAGGATGATCCTTTTGAGCTGTTCGCCTTTTAGCATTTCACATTGTGGAAACATACCTATGTTTTTGAGATTTTGAAAATCTAATTGCCAAACTGTTATTAATCACTTCTTCACATAGACTGTAGACTTTAGCTTGGAAACAATATCCAGATTTAATGGTTTTAAATGAAACCTTTTGATTATTTACTCACAGAAAAAATTCTTTAAATCTTATGTCAAAAAACTGAATTATAACTTTTCCCAGTCACTGTTGAAAATGTCTGTGTTTTACTTTTTTATATTTCGATAGTAAAATATAGACATGTTGATAGGGGTTTGGGGGATGAGATAGTACACAAAGTATTAAATAAAGAGTTAAGTCTGTTACCCTAATCCCCCCTTCCCCCTGTTTAGGCCCAGCCCCCGGAAGTAAGCAGTTTTAACTGTTTTGGTTTTAGTTCTTCAGGAGACTTCTACCAAAATTTCTGTTTCTTGATCTGTACATTTTAGATGTTGTCTGTTCAATCATGTTTTAAAGAATGGGTCCGGGCACAGTGGCTCACGCCTGTAATCCCAGCTCTTTGGGAGGATGAGGCTTGTGGATCACTTGAGGTCAGGAGTTCAAGACCAACCTGGCCAACATGGTGAAACCCCGTCTCTACTGAAAATATAAAAATTACCCAAGCGTGGTGGCACACACCTGTTGTCCCATCTACTTGGGAGGCTGAGGTGGGAGAATCGCTTGAACCCAGGAGGCAGAGGTTGCAGTGAGCCGAGTCATGCCATTGCACTCCAGCCTGGGCAACAGAGTGAGACTTCATCTCAGAAACAAATAAAAACAAAAACAAAAAACAAGAATGGACAAGGCGAGGTGCAGTGGCGCACACTTGTAATCCCAGCATTTTGGGAGGCTGAGGTGGGTAGCTCACTTGAGGTCACGAGTTCAAGACCAGCTTGGGCAACATGGCAAAAACCCCGTCTCTACAAAAAAAAAAATTTTTTTTTTAAATTAGCCAGGCGTGGTGGCACACACCTGTGGTCCCAGCTATTTAGGAGGCTGGGGTGGGAGGATCACCAGAGCCCAGAGTTGAAGGCTGCAGTGAGCTACAATCACACCACTGCACTCCAGCTTGGGTAAGGTAACAGAGTGAGACCCTGTATCAAACATGAAAAAACAAGAATGGGGAATTTTTCTCACCACCTCTCTTCCTGGAATTCCCAGCTTTTTTGGTTTTACTAATATTAGTTCATAATCTTAAACATCAAATGTGCATTCCTTTAACTTTAGACAGTTATTTAACTCCTGTTATGTTTAAGATGAAGAAATTAAAAACTTATTTATTTACCTTTCCTTTCTTTCACCAACCTGTTCTTTTTTTTTTTCCATTTTCAAAGGAGGTGACACCAACCTATTCTTTATCTCATGAAATTTCAATAATTTTAAAGCTGTGTTTTCTTTTTTTCCCTCACAGTATTACAATGACTATGGTGATATTATTAAGGAAACACTGAGTAAAACCAGGCAGATTGATAAAATTCAGTGTGCCAAGACTCTCATTCTCAGTTTGCAACAGGTAAGAAATTTGGAGAGAGGGAGACAAAGAATAGAAATAACATTAATTGCACTTCTCTGTGCTTAATATTTGCTAGGTATCTTGTCTCATTTAAACTAGGTCATTTTATATAGTTTTGTCAGTGCATTACAGTGGATATTTTCTGGTACAAAGACATAGGTTAGGTGTCTTTTCTTTTGGAAGAAAATCCTAGAGTTCATATTTCAAATAGATGTAATCCTAAGGTGATTTATTCTTGGACTAGATGAAATGTGAAATTGGAAATTTAAAAAGTAATAATTTAAGAAGAAAAATATAAAAAGTATTTCATGAGGAAGGGTACCAGGAGATAAAATGTTTTTCATATTGCATAAATAAGATTTCTAATAAATGCTTAGTAATTTAAAATTATTTCAGGGGGCCTGGTGGATATATATATGTGATATGCGCATATTTATAAATACATAATATATATATATGTTTGTATGTAGTTTATGATAAAAGTCTCATATCAGTGGCAAAAGGATTGGGACTATTCAATAAATGGTGATGGGTCAGCTGACTGTGTATTTGGAAAAATAGCTGTTTATAGTCCTACCTAATGTGTATCCACAATAACTACTAGATGGTTTATATATAAAAGGCCAAAAGTAAGGGTTTATGAGAAAATAAGAGGATATTTTTTAAATCTTCTTTCTAAAGAAGTCACAAAGTTAAAAATTGATGATCTGTTCTTCTTTTTTTTTTTTTTTTTGTAGAGATGTGTTTCGCCATGTTGGCCAGGCTGGTCTCAAACTCCTTGGCCTCAAGTGATCCACCTGCCTCGGCCTCCCAAAGTGCTGGGATTATAGACATAAGCCACCTTGCCCCAGCCAATCTGTATAAATTTATGTAGATTAAATAGATGTATACATCAATTTGCACTTTGAGCAAAGTTAAAAAAAAAATGACGGGGGAAATATTTTCAGTCCTACATAGCAAATCCTACAGATCAGTAGGAAAGATAAATAAATCCCATAGAAAAGTGAGCAAGGGATATGAAAAAGGCACTTTTCCAAGGAAGAATCTTACAAACCAGTAAACATGAAAAGAGGCATTAGGCTGGGTGCAGTGTCTCACACCTGTAATCCCAGCACTTTGGGTGGCTGAGGCAGGTAGATCACCTGAGGTCAGGAGTTCAAGACCAGCCTGGCCAACATGGTGAAACCCTGTCTCTACTAAAAATACAAAAAATTAGCTGAATGTTGTGGTGGGTGCCTGTAATCTCAGGTACTCGGGAGGCTGAGGCAGAAGAATCATTTGAACCCGGGAGGCGGAGGTTGCAGTGAACCGAGATCATGCCATGGCACTCCAGCCTGGGCAACAGAAGTGAAACTGTGTCTCAAAGAAAAAGAAAGGAAAGAGGCATTAATTAATTATATATAACATAAATAATTAATAATTAATAAAAGCCAAGCACATTAGCCCACACATGTAATTCCAGCACTTTGGGAAGCCAACGCAGGCGAATCGCTTGAGCCCATGAATTCAAGACCAGCCTAGGCAACATGGCAAGACCCCCGTATCCAAAAACAAAAATAGCCAGATGTGTTGGCATGCACCCTGTAGTCCCAGCTACTTGGGAGGGTAAAGTGAGAGGATAGCTTGAGCCTGGGAGTTCAAAGCTGCAGTGAGTTATGATTGCACCACTGCATTCCAGCCTAGGTGACAGAGTGAGACCCTATTTCTAATAATTATTATTAATGAAATACAAATGAAAATGGATACTTCTTGCTCAACAGATTGGCATGAATTAAAATGATTGATAAAGATATAGAGGAAAAGGCCCCTTTTTAAAACTGCCTTCTTAGAAGACAGTTTTGTAGTATATTCCAAAATTGAAGATATATATTCCCTTTAAACCAGTAATTTTGCTTCTAGGTATGTACGTGGATATGCACAGGTGTGTACCAATAAATATATGTAAAGATGTTTTATTGCAGCAGTCTCTATAATAGTAACAAACTGGAAATAGTCTAAATGTCAACAGGGGAATTGTTAAATAAACTGAGATAGATAAACGATTTTTAAGACAAAATATTGAGTGAAAAATGGCAAGTTTCAGGACAAATGCAGTATGCTACTATTTATGTAAAAATAAAAACTTTAGCTGTAAATGTAATGTATCTATACTGATCTAGAAAACTTTCAGACTTTAAACACTGGTTACCTTTGGAGAGAATAATGGTATTTGGTAGAAGAGAGAAAGAAGAACTTTTACTTTGATATTCTTTGAATTTTTCACAACAAAATGTATTCTTTGTATTCACTTTATTATTATTATTATTATTTTTTTTTTTTTTTTTTGAGACGGAGTCTCACTCTGTCGCCCAGGCTGGAGTACAGTGGCCGGATCTCAGCTCACTGCAAGCTCCGCCTCCCGGGTTCACGCCATTCTCCTGCCTCAGCCTCCGGAATAGCTGGGACTACAGGCGCCCGCCACCTCGCCCGGCTAGTTTTTTGTATTTTTTAGTAGAGACGGGGTTTCACCGTGTTAGCCAGGATGGTCTCGATCTCCTGACCTCGTGATCCACCCGTCTCGGCCTCCCAAAGTGCTGGGATTACAGGCTTGAGCCACCGCGCCCGGCCTGTATTCACTTTAAATGTACACTTTAAGTTTTAAAGTTTAAAGCTATTGTATATACCAATATGTGAAAACATTTTAAAGTTTAAGAATTTATAAACAGCCTGTAATCCCAGCACTTTGGGAGGCTGAGGTGGGCGGATCACAAGATCAGGAGATAGAGACCATCCTGGCTAACACGGTGAAACTCCGTCTCTACTAAAAACCATCCTGGCTAACACGGTGAAACCCCATCTCTACTAAAAATACAAAAAATTAGCTGGACGTAGTGGTTGGTGCCTGTCGTCCCAGCTACTCAGGAGGCTGAGGCAGGAGAATGGCATGAACCCTGGAGGTGGAGCTTGCAGTGAGCCGAAATCACGCCACTGCACTCCAACCTGGGTTGACAGAGCGAGACTCCTCAAAAAAAAAAAAAAAAAAAAAAATTATAAACAATTATCTGTGAATAAATTTGAAGTCCCTGGAAGAACTATTCCTTCAGTAATGACACAGCCAATAGTTCAGGCCAATCTATTGCTGAAGAAAACTAAAAAGGTGCAGAACATATTAGCACCCAAGAGCTATTTCAGTAAATCAGGTGTGATTAGAATTGAGAGATTGGGAGGTGAGAAACTAAAGAAATGTCAACAATACTCTTCAGGAGCTTTGCTATAAAGGGAATCAGAGAAATGGGTTAGTAGCTGGCAGAGGAAATGGGGTCAAGAAGTTAAGAGTATTTTTAAGATGTATGCATCTAATACAGAAGGAATAGTTTAGGAGGCAGGAGAGAGCCGTAAACACAAGAGCAAAACTATTGAGCAGGTGAAACCTTATATACTGCCTTCTTGTCTAATACATAGGAGGGAGTGGCTTTAGATGAAAGTCTGGACAGTTCACCCTTCATAACAGGAGGAAAGGTCGATGTCTACAGATGCAATTAAGTTTTTAGATTTGTGGAATGATGATTGCTTGTATATTACGTCCAGGGTTCTGTTTTTGTTGTTATTTTCACAGAAAATAGCTAACAGATATGCAATTTATAAAACTCCACCCAGCTTAAGAACTTTTTGGTGTATTTTGTTACTGGATGGGAAAAATCATAGCCCCATGTATGCAAATGGTCTTCTTTTATATAATGTTCTTGTTTGAAATATAATAAGTGAAAAAAACCTCTTAACCCTGTGTGTCATATATTGTCATTCCTGTAAAAACAATAACAAAAAGAACAGATGTTTATAAATATATAGTGTAGTTCTATAAATACATTTCTTTTTCCCATCTCAAAATACGTTCTTTTGGCCAGGTGTGGTGGCTCACGCCTGTAATCCCAGGACTTTGGGAGGCCAGGGCAGGCAGATCACTTGAGGACAGGAGTTTGAGACCAGCCTGGCCAAGATCTCTACTAAAAATGCGAAAAGTTAGATGGGCATGGTGGTACACGCCTATTATCCCAGCTACTCGGGAGGCTGAGGCATGAGAATCACTTGAACCCGGGAGGTGGAGGTTGTAGTGAACTGAGATTGCACCACTGCACTCCAGCCTCCGTGACAGAGCAAGGCTCTCTCAATTAAAAAAGAATGTATTTTTTACATTATTATTAGAAACAAATTTCTGTCTGTATTTAATCACACCACTAGCATGAAAATTAACTCCAGCTATTAATAATAGACAATTTGTAGAAAGGGAACAAACAGAGTAGCTAAAGTTCAGTGCAAGGAGAGAAACCTTTCACCTTATACCTTTTACATATTTTTAAATTACCTATTCTGAAAATAAATAAAATTTTTAAAATTCTGAGCTATAGGTTTTTTCCTCTTTTTTTCTTTCTACCAGTTATTTAATGAACTTGTTCAAGAGCAAGGTCCCAACCTAGATAGGACATCTGCCCATGTCAGTGGCATTAAAGAACTGGCACGTCGCTTTGCCCTTACATTTGGATTGGACCAGATTAAGACACGAGAAGCAGTTGCCACACTTCACAAGTGAGTGAGATAAACACTTTGTTATACAGAATCTGGTTTACTTGAATTTTAATGAAATAACTGTTATTTGACCCATTTTTAAAGTGACAATTGATAGAATTTTAAGTTAGAATAACTTTAGAGATTATCTAGTTTAGAGATTCTAAATTGGGAGGACGTTTTTAATTTGAAACAACTTAAACCACCCATTTGTTCATCTTACAAAATATAGAAAGCAAAATTTAATAATATATTATTGTCTGGTCTGTCAGTAAGAAAACAGTGGGTTTGAGAGACTATACAGGCTGGGTGTGGTGGTTCACACCTGTAATCCCAGTGCTTTGGGAGCCCAAAGCAGGAGGATCATTTGGGGCCAGGAGTTCGAGACTAGCCTGGGCAATAGAGTAAGACCCTGTCTCCTACAAAAAATAAAAAAGAGCCAGGCATAGTGGCATGTGCCTGCAGTCCTAGCTACTTGGTAAGCTGAGCCAGGAGGATCACTTGAGACTGGGAGTTTGAGGTTATAGTGAGCTATGATTGTACCACTGCCCTCCAGCCTGGAAAACAGAGTGAGACCCTGTCTCTGAAAAAATAATTACAGAATTATTTGTTAAGACCATACAAAATTGGTTCAGGGTTCATTATTGTGAAAACAGAAGTAACAGAAAACCTTTAGTAAATGCACACAGCTTGGTACCATTACCAGCTCCAAGAAGCAAATATTCTGGCAATCTATTAATAATTCTGTTTCCAGGGTATCTTGTTACCTCTAAAAACTACACATAGGGGGCTGGGTGCCTGTAGCTCACGCCTGTAATCCCAGCACTTTGGAAGGCCAAGGGAGGCCAATTGCTTGAGCCCAGGAGTTTGAGACCAGCCTGGGCAACATGGTGAAACCCCATCTCTACAAAAAATGCAAAAATTACCCAGGTGTGGTGGCACACACGTGTAGTCCCAGCTACTCGGGAGGCTGAGGTGGGAGAATCACCTGAGCCCAGGAAGTCAAGGCAGTGAGCCATGATAGCACCACTGCACTCCAACCTGGGCAACACAGTGAGACCTTGTCTCAAAAAAAAAAAAAAAAAGTACACATAGGAATTTAGTTTTGTTGCTCTGTAGCTATTTTTTGTATGTTTTTCCCACCTTACAGTTTCGTACTATAAATATACACAAATATGTCCTATATATTCACATTAGTTTATTATTTGAATTTATCAGATTTTTCTACCTTTTGTGATGATTTTACTACCTTCACAAATATTTGTGTAATGTTAACCAGTTGAGAGAACTACACTATCTGGATAAATAAGTTGATATTTTCTTTCACTTCAGGGATGGCATAGAGTTTGCATTTAAATACCAAAATCAGAAAGGACAAGAGTATCCACCTCCTAATCTGGCTTTTCTTGAAGTACTAAGTGAATTTTCTTCTAAACTTCTTCGACAGGACAAAAAGACGGTGTAAGTTGCACATTACAAGAGAAGTGGTTTTTATAATAACACTGTTGTAAATGTTTATTTTTTGAAAAATTTTTAATCATTTGGATATCTTTACTCTTGACAATTTAGGCTCTGATCGTTTAAGGAATTATACATTTTCCTTCAAGCATTTATATAGTAGTAATTTCACTGCTTATCTTTTAGTACCCTAGAATCTGCAACATGAAATTAAGCAGGTGGAAATTATTTCTTCTTATGTAGTTCAAAGATGTATGAACATTGGCTTAGCCGTTGTGTAACTCTTCCTTCTTTTATATTAATTTCATTTTAGTTTTATATTCTATTTGACTTGTTTCAAAAGACTGATTTTTTTCATATTTGCTTTTTTTGATTATTGATAACAGTTTAAAGAAATATATATGTAATTTCAAAAGAAAATCTTGATTGGGGAAGTTTTATTTAAAACCAAACCAGAAAACTTTTCTAGGCTGGGCACGGTGGCTCACACCTGTAATCCCGGCACTTTGGGAGGCTGAGGCAGGGGGATCACCTGAGGTCAGTAGTTTAAGACCAGCCTGGCCAACATGGGAAAACCCATCTCTATTAAAAATACAAAAACATTAGCTAGGCATGGTGGCGCGCACCTGTAGTCCCAACTACTCAGGAGGCTGATGCGCAAGAACCGCTTGAACCTAAGCGGCAGAGGTTGCAGCGAGCTGTGGTCGTGCCACTCCACTCCAGCCTGGGCAATAGAGCAAGACTCTGTCTCAATAAAAAATTTAAAAAAAAATTTTTTTAGAGGATAATACTATAATGAATCCTAAATTTTATAAACTGATAAGACAGAGAGTCCTTTATAATATTCTAGCTGTGTGCAGTGATTCACGCCTGTAAGGAGGCTGAAGCAGGAGGATTGCTTGAGCCCAGGAATTCAAGACCAGTCCTGGCAACGTAGCAAGATCCCATCTCTATAAAAAATTTTAAAATTAGCCAGGTGTGGTGTGTACCTGTAGTCCCAGCTACTTGGGAGGCTGAGATGGGAAAATCACTTGAACCCAGGAATTTGAGGCTACAATGAGCTATGATTATGCCACTGCATTCCAGCCTGGGCGACAGTCTGGGGAGCCTGTCTCAATCAATTGATTTTTTAAAAAAAAACAAGATTCTAAATAAATAGAATTTTGGAGAGACAGTTAATACTTATATGAATATAAGTGGTAGTTCTAAGTAAAGATGTTGATGTCATGTTAATCAGAAAATACTTATTAAGCGCCTAGTATGGTAAGCTCCTGTTGTAAAGCTTATGCTCTAATGCAGGGGGGGCACAGCATAAACAGGCAGATGGCCAGGCTCACTGGTTCCCACCTGGAATCCCAGCTATTCCGGACCTGAGGTGGGAGGATTGTTTGAGGGCAAAAGTTTGAGAGCAGCCTGGGCAAGATAGTGAGACTGTCTCTAAAAAAAAAAAAAAAAAAAGCAGACAGGAGAGTTTCAGGCACTGAAATGGGATAATGTGATAGACAGAGACAGGTGTTGAATATTAGTGAGAGTGGTTTGAAAACATTTTCAATACAGACATTTACAGCTATACATTTTCCTCTGAACATTACCTTAGCTGCATCTTGTAAGTTTTGATATGTTGCATTTCCATCTCAAAGTATTTTCTCTTTTCACTTATTTCTTTAACCTATTGGTTATTCAGGAGTATTTTGTTTAATTTTTATGTATTTCTGTATTTCCAGATTTTTTTTCTGTTACTGGTTTCTTCATTTCATTGTGGTCAGAGATCATGCATTGTATTACTTTAATCCTTTTAAATTTATTGAGACTTGTTTTATGGACCAACATATGGTCTTAGAGACTATTCCATATATCACTTGAGAAAGTGTGTTACCCTTCTGTTTTTGGTTGGAGTTTTTGTTCTGTAGATATGTGTTCCGTCTAATTAGCTTATAGTTTTGTTTATAGTGCTTTTCAGGTCTTCAGTGTTCTTGTTAATCTTTTTCTTAGTTGTCCTATTCATTTTTGAAAGTGAGATATTGAAGTCTCCAAATATTACTGTTGAATTTTCTATTTGTCCCTTCAGTTCTGTCAGTTTTTGCTTCATATATTTTCAGGCTCTCTTATTAAGTATACATACTTTTTTTTTTTTTTTTTTTAAGACGGAGTCTCACTCTGATTCCCAGGCTGGAGTGCAATGGCTCAATCTTGGCTCACTGCAATCTCCGCCTCCTGGGTTCCAGCGATTCTCCTGTCTCAGCCTCCTGGGTAGCTGGGATTACAGGTGCACACCACCACACCTGGCTAATTTTGTATTTTTAGTAGAGATGGGGTTTCACCATGTTGGCCAGGCTGGTCTTGAACTCTTGACCTCAAGTGATCTGCCCACCTCGGCCTCCAAAGTGCTGGGATTACAGGTGTGAGCCACCACACCTGGCCTGTATATACATTTTTAATTGTTACATCTTCCTGACCAATTGAGTCTTATTCTAAAGTCTCATTCTCTGTCTCTAAGACATTTTTGTGTCAGATTACTATAACCACGCTAGCTTTATTTTGACTACTGTTTTGCATGGTACACTTTTTTTTTCCATCCTTTCACTTTCTGCCTTTGTAGCTTTTAATCTAAAGTGTGTTTCATGTAGACAGAAAATTGAATCATGTGTTTTTAAATTCAACCTGACATTCTCTACTATTATACTTTTTGTTTTTTATGTATGTCTCCTGGGGTTTTTGTTTCTGTTTTTGTTTTTGTTTTTTGGGGGTAGGGGTTTGGTTCTCCTTTGTTGCCTTCTTGTATTAAATGTATGTTTTCTAGTGTATCATACTAATTCCTTTAATTAATCTTTCATTGTATTTTTTTAGTTATGTTCCTAGTGGTCTTACCAGGCCTTACAATATACATGTTATCAAAATTTACTGGCCGGGTGCAGTGGCTCATGCCTATAATCCCAGCACTTTGGGAGGCTGAGGTGGGCAGATCACTTGAGGTCAAGAATTCAAGACCAACCTGGCCAACATGGTAAAACCCTGTCTCTACTAACAATACAAAAATTAGCCGGGCATGTTGGCACATGCCTGTAATCCGAGTTACTTGGGAGGCTAAGGTGAGAGAATTGCTTGAACCCCAGGGGGCAGAGGTTGCAGTAAGCCAATATCGTGCCACTGCACTCCACCCGGGATGATAGAGATTCCACCTCAACAAAACAAAATTTACCTAAGGTCTATCCTGGTTTATTCTAAGGAAATACAGAAACTTTAATTCTATATAAATCCATTTCCTTTCCTCCTTTTTTGGCTATTCTTGTTATACATGGTCCATCTATATATATTAGAAACCCAATAATAAACTGTTATAATTATACATGAGATAATCTTTTATAGAAACTGAGAAAAGAAAGGAAAGCAAGTATGTGTTTATAGAGTTTGTTATATTAATCTTTCTATTTACCATTTTTCTGGTTTTCTTCTTTTCTTCTTGTGGATTCGAATTGCTATCTAGTATCATTCCTATAATCAAATACAGCTTCTCTTTCACTCACTTTTGTGTTTATTGTCAAATATATTACATTTCTATGTTATTGACCCAACAATACAGTAATATACATATTGTTTTATATATTTGCTTTTTAAATCAGTTAAGAGAAAAGGGATACAAAATTTGTAATTATACTTCTATAACTACCTACAAATTACCTTTACTGGCACTCTTTGTTTTTTCATGTAAATTCAAATTACCCTGTGATGACATTTGGTTTCAGCTTGACTAACTTCTTTTAGTAGGCAGGTCTGACAACAACAAATTCTCTCAGGGGTGGCTCATGCCTGTAAAACCAGCATTTTGGGAGGCTGAAGCAGGAAGATTGCTTGAGCCCAGGAGATTGAGGTTACAGTAGGCGATGTAAGATTCTCGTTTGATAGTTTTTTACTTTCAACACTTTGACCATGTCATCCCGCTGCCTTCTGGTCGCCATTGTGAGCCAGGTGATAAGAATTAATCATTAATTTTATTGGATTTTCTTTGTATGTTGTGAATTACTTTTCTTTTACTACTTTCATGATTTTCTTTTTATCCTTGGCTTTTAGCATTTTTCCTATGATGAATCCATGTGTGAATCTTTTTGCATTTATCCTGTTTGGAGTTCATTGAACTTTTGGATGTATGAAATTATGTTTTTCATCAAACTGGGCAAGTTTTTAGCCATTATTTCTCCTAAATTTTTCTGCTTTTTCGTCTGCTATCTTGGTTACTCCCATTACACATATGTCAGTATATTTAATGGTATCCCATACTTCTCTCAGGCTCTGTTCATTTTTGTTTATTCTTTTTTCTCTCTCTTCTTCAGATGGCATAACCTCTTGATATATCATCAAATGTGGTGTTTCTTGCCTTTGTCAGCTCAGATCTACTGTCAAGCCACTATAGTACATTTTTAATTTTGATTATACTTTCAACTTAAGAATTTCCATTTGGTTCTTTTTTTTAATTCATATTCTTTATTTCATGAGATATATTGTCATCATACCAACTTTTAAGTAGATTTTCTTTAGTTCTTCGAACATACAGATGCTCCTGGATTTAAGATGGGGTTACATCCTAATACACCCCTCATAAGTTTAAAATATTGTAAGTCAAAAATGCATTTAATACAACTAATCTACCAAACATCACAGAATAATATAGCCTACCTTTAACATGCAGAATACTTACATTAGCCTATAGTTTGATAATATCATCTAACGCAAAGCCTGTTTTATGATGAAATGTCAAATATACTATGAAATTTGTTGAATACTAAGTACAAAACAGAATGACTGCATGGGTACTCACCATTAAAGTACACAGCTTAAAAACACTATCATAAAGTTAAAAAAGAATCGTAATCAAACCATTGTAAGTTGGGGACTTTATTTATAATCATTGCTTTGAAATCTTTGTGGGCCAAGGTGCTGTTGCTTGTTCTTTTATCAGTGTATCTATCACATTTTCCTGTTTCTTTGTATGTCTCATAATTTTTTCTTAAAAACTGGACATTTGGCCAGCACTGTGGCTCACACCTGTAATCCCAGCACTTTGGGAGGCCGAGGCGGACTGATCACTTGAACTCACAAGTTCAAGACCAGCCTGGGCAACATGGCACAACCCTTTCTCTACAAAAATACAAAAATTAGCTGGGCATGGTGATGCATGCCTGTAGTCCCAGCTACTTGGGAGGCTGAGGTGGGAAGATGGCTTGAGCCTGAGAGGTGGAGGTTGCAGTGAGCCAAGGTTGTGCCACTGTACTCCAACCTAGGTGACCTTATCTCAAAATAATAAATAAAAAGAACAAATGTTGCAAAAATGATATATTGTGAAATAATAATATAGCTACTCTTTACTAATTATCTGCCCCCTAGAGGTTGATATTATTTTTTCGTTGGTCATTTACTTGTTTAGTTACTTGGATGAACAAACTCTGAAATCTTTTTTCTCTGCCTTGTGCAACCTCTGATGTCTTTGCTTAGATCTTTTTTCCTTTGTTTTTATCATTTGTCTTGGCTGCTGAGGAGGTCACCCTTGGGTTAGCATAAGCCACTTACTGATCAAAGGTGCTTAAGCCCCTTAGCCAGTTAGATTTACCCTTTACTGTTGGATACGTGTATCGCTTGCAGGCTGCTTTCATAATTCAGGGTATTTACTTTTTTGACCCACATTTTAGGCCAGGGACTAGCGGCTTGGAAGATACCTCTCTGATTGTTCCTGAGAAAAGGCAGCCTTGGCTGTGCACAGTCTTCAGACGACCAGAGAAGCATATTATTTCATTTTTAAGCCTGGCCTCCTAGGAGTTGCTCCTGGGTGTAAGAATAGCTGTTTGTTCAGCCAGTGTTTGGTGAGAGGTTGTATTTAAACCACTTTTGCCAGTGAAGCTTCCTCCCTATGTTGATAGATCTGTATGTGGCTTGGGGAATGTTTCAAGTCTGCCTCATTCCCTTCCCTTGTTTGCCCATGAGTGAAGGCAGCGTAGGATATGTGCATAGCTTTCTCAACTCCCAGGACTTTTATTTTTTATTTTATTTTTTAAACCTGTTCCAAATATGCTTAATGGATAAACAGATGAACTCACAAAATTTGAAACCTATAAACAAAAGAAACGTTAAGCATAGCAATTACTTAAGCAGATCAATAACAATAAAATGTTGTCCTTCTTCCATATAAGAAGAAACATATGAAATGCCAGGTTAGCTCAGCAACCTATTAATAACCACCAAAGACTGGTGATAAAACATTCTTCCAGTGCTGTGATGATTTAAAAAAAAAAAAAAAAAAAAAAACACAAACACAGTGGAGGATTTGGTAGCCTATGTTCAAATGAATCGAAGGGAGATACCGAAATTAAGAATCACTTGTTTTTTAGTTTAAAAAAAAAAAAAAGGGAAAAAAATCCTTTTTTTTTTTTTTTTTTTTTGAGACGGAGTCTCGCTCTGTAGCCCAGGCTGGAGTGCAGCGGCCGGATCTCAGCTCACTGCAAGCTCTGCCTCCTGGGTCCACGCCATTCTCCTGCCTCAGCCTCCTGAGTAGCTGGGACTACAGGCGCCCTCCACATCGCCCGGCTAGTTTTTTTGTATTTTTTAGTAGAGACGGGGTTTCACCGTGTTAGCCAGGATGGTCTCGATCTCCTGACCTCGTGATCCACCCGTCTCGGCCTCCCAAAGTGCTGGGATTACAGGCTTGAGCCACCACGCCCGGCCCGGAAAAAATCCTTTAAAAAATAGTATAGATTTAAGGTGTATATATGATGTCTTGATATACATATAGGTTGTAAAATGATTACAACAGTCAGTTAGTTAACAAATCCACCTCCCAGGATTGACTGTGACACCAGGAAGGTTCTTCTTGGCTCTTTCTCTGGTTTTCTCTGTGGAACTTCTGGGTGCTTTGCTCTGTCATTTGTTGCTGCTAGCGTCAGAGAACTACCAGCACCCTCTCATTTTCACTCCATCAAGAGCAGAGGATAGGTAACCCCTGGTTCTCAGCTTGCCCAAGGTTTGGAATCTCTCGACAGGGAGTTTGAGGTGGGGCATTCAGGGCCCCGATGTTCTCAGCCTGCTGTGCCCGGGGTAGCATTTTACCCCAGGGGTGGAGGCTAGGTGGGATAAAAGGAGCTTCATTTTACCTGGTTGCTGTTCAGAATAGAACTTATACAACACAGGGCTGGGAGGTGATGAGAAATGCAAATGGTATGCTTCTTTCTTTCAGGGTAGCCTGGGAACTAGAGAGAGAGGGAACCCCCATCTTCTTGGCCACCTGTCTGGACTACATAGAGTTTCTAAAATATAGAGTTGTAGTGGCAGGGAGAAGGAAACAAGGGAAGGGAACAGGTTGTGGATCAAATGCTACAAACTTTTGCTGTGCTTACCAAAATGTATTAGATTCTCTCTTTTTTTTTTTTTTTGAGATAGAGTCTCCAGACTATCACCCAGGCTGGAGTGCAGTGGGGTGGTCTTGGCTCACTGCAACCTCCACCTCCCGGGTTCAAGCGATTCTCCTGCCTCAGCCTCCTGAGTAGCTGGGATTACAGGTGCGTGCCACCATGCCCGGCTAATTTTTTTTGTAGGGACTGGGTTTTGCCATGTTGGCCAGGTTGATGTCAAACTCCTGACCTCAAGTGATCCACCCACCTCAGCCTCCCAGAGTGCTGGGATTACAGGCATGAGCCACTGTGCCTGGCCAGATTTTCTTGAATAAATTTTTCTCCATTTGCTCTATGCCCTTAAGAGAATTGGCAAAGACTTTAAATTATTGTATTTTGTAAATTTTACTAGTTAAAAGGTTGTTTTCCTGGAAAGAGGGCATGCCAGCCTCCTTACTCCACCATCTTAGAAATCCTGCTTTGGCTTGAACACTTTATGAGAAAACTCAATAATCTTTTTGAGCTAAACTTCTGATTTTTTTTTAACATTGGTGTTTAAAAGCAAAGGAAGAAACATGGGAAAGACCATACATACATACATACCCTTAGGTAATACACTCTCTTGCTTTAAAGTATCCCAAGAATATGTGAAACAAAACTTTCTCGGTCCCTCTCTTTCCAAAGGTGACCACTGTTAATAATTTAATGTGTGTCCTTAGGTATTCTTCAGAACCTGCAGAGAGAGAGCCTCAGATTAAGAAAAAGTGAGTGATGTATGAACTGCTTCCATGAAAATCACTGCTGTTTCTATTGTGTTTCTAGTCACTCATACCTAGAGAAATTCCTTACCGAGCAGATGATGGAAAGGAGGGAAGATGTATGGCTTCCACTCATCTCCTATAGAAATTCATTAGTCACTGGGGGTGAAGATGATAGAATGTCTGTGAACAGTGGAAGTAGCAGCAGCAAAACCTCATCAGTAAGGAATAAGAAAGGACGACCTCCACTTCATAAAAAACGAGTAGAAGGTAAGTCTGCCTTTACACTATAAGAAACAATTTGCCTGGTTTTAAAGAGAAAAAGTAGCAAATAATCTTTTGAAGCAAGATAATAGTATCCGGCACATGATTTCCTTGTATATTTGATTCACAATGAGATGTTAAGGCAAAAAGATTGGAACAGACAAAGTAAGACAGAAAAGCGTCAAGGAAAAAGAAGTTGAGGAAGCATGGAGCATAAAGGAAGAGAGACCAAAAGAGGAAACAATTAGCTAAGTCTATAAAATCAATCCCTATACTATATGCCTCTAATACATTAAAATATAAAGTAAGATAGTCACAATGCTATTCTATTAAAATTCTTCCTAATATAGGTGAGATACAGGTAATTTGAGGGTAGATTTCTGCAGCAAATTGAATATACCAGAATAGTTTTCCAGTTCTACCACTTGGTTGGAACAATAAGACAGTGATGGCCTCCAGGTATGATGGCTCACACCTGTAATCCCAGTTACTCAGGGGAAGGAAGGAGGATCAGGAAATTAAGGCCAGAAATTTGAGACCAGCCTGGGAAACATAGCAGGACTCTCATCTGTAAGAAAAAAAATGTTTTTAATTGGTGGCATGCACCTGTAATCCCAGCTACTTGGGAAGCTAAGGTGGGAGAATCACTTGAGCCCAGAAGTTTGAGGTTGCAGTGAGCTATGATCATGCCACTGCACTCCAGCCTGGGTAACAGAGCAAGACTCCCATCATTTAATTTTTTTAAAAGGCAGTAATGGCTAAATCTGGTTTTATAACCCTCTTGGACTGTGGGGAATGGGAAGTTAAATTGTCATGAAAATCTGATCAGTAGTAGATATTCCTATATGTAAAAATAAATAAATAAATAAAAATTGCTCTATTAAAACAAAACATTCCTGTTAAAATTACTAAGAGAAGCCTCAAAGTAAAAATGCTTGTTTTCTCAAATAATCTTCCCCCTTCTCCATGCTTGTAATAAATTTTCTCCAAACCAAGAGGAGGGCTGTGATCTGAGTCCTCTCTCTTGTTCTTTTTATAACTTCTTATCTTTCAGCATCTTACCTGTGCTGCCTAAAAAAATGACTCACTAATAAAGGTTTTGCTAAACTCTATGGCAAAATTAATTAGAATTTAAATCTAATGATTCTTTTCATTACTGGGGAGACAGTATTGACTATTGATGAGGAGTACAAATTCTAACATCAGAGTTCCAGAATTCAGACCTGGCCTTCTCATTATCAGCTATGCAACCTTTGAGCATATTACTTAACCTCTCTAAGTTTCAATCATTCATCAAATGAAGGATGAGCAGAGTATTTATCCTGTCAGTTCCCGTGAATATTAGAAACTACAAATAAACCACTTAGTACACACACAGTACTGAGCACAGTGCTTGGCACATAGGTAGCATTCAATAAATTATCTGAACATTATTGTATAGTAATGCCTCATATCTAGCATCAATCAGTAAATTAGGCAGCATCTGTATTTCTTTTCTTTTTTTAACCTTTGAGTTTTCAAAGCATCTATATTTCAAAAGGAATAAAAGAATTAATATAAATGTTACTGTTCAAGTTTAACAAAATCTCCACAAAGTTTAAGATTTCCTTTCAAATTACAGCTTTGGGACTTAAACTCTTTTTTAAAAAAGTCCAGAGAAAGAAAATATAAAATCTTGTCTTTGTACTGTAGGATCCTGGACTTTTCTCTAAAGAATGACTACAGGCATTTCTTTTTATTTATTTATTTATTTATTTATTTATTTATTTTTTGAGACAGGGTCTCCCTCTGTCACCCAGGCTGGAATGCAGTGGCGTGATCTTGGTTCACTGCAACCTTCACTTCCCAGGTTCAAGCAATTCTCCTGCCTCAGCCTCCCAAGTATCTGGGATTACAGGCACCCACCACCATGCCTAGCTAATTTTTGTATTTTTAGTAGAGACAGGGGTTCACCCTGTTGGCCAGGCTGGTCTCGAACTCCTGACCTCAAGTGATCCACCCACCCTGGCTTCTCAAAGTGCTGGGATTATAGGCGGGAGCCACTGCACCTGGCCTTTTTTTTTTAATGAGACAGGGTTTCACTCTGTCACCCAGGCTGGAGTCTTGTCCCTGGCTCAAGCAATCCTCCCACTTCAGCCCTCAAACCTCCCTGGCTCAAGCCCCAAAACCTCCCTGGCTCAAGCAATCCTCCCACTTCAGCCCCCAAGTAGCTGGGACTACAGGCATGTGCCACCACACCCAGCTAATTTTTGTATTTTTCGTAGAGACAGGGTTTCACCTTGTTGCCCAGACTGGTTTTAAACTCCTGGACTCAAGCGATCCATATGCCTCAGTGTCCCAAAGTGCTAGGATTACAGGCATGAGCCATTGCGTCTAGCCATTCTTCAATGTAATATTCTTATTAGCCAACATTCATCAAATTTTTGCTATGTACTAGGAATATGTTTTAACATGCATTATATCATTTAATCATTTATTTGACTTATATTTGTAAAGCACCTAAGTCAGTCTCTGGCATAAGTGTATAAATGTCTTATAAGTCAACACTATTATCTAAATTTTTCACAAAAGAAACTAAAGCTTAGAGATTTTAACTATCCATAATGTTCACTAATGGTACAGTCAATATTATTTTCAAGATTAAGAGAAGCTTATATGGAACCAGATAACCTAATTTGTTTAAATTACAAAAAAGAAAACTTTGTCAATTTGAGATTTACAAAATGACTAAGATGGGTTGCATGCACAAAACCCTTAGGCTGCAGAGTTTCATCCTTCAGAGATGAAAATGAGAAAGTATTAAAAGAAATATTTTCATTGAGTAATCTTTAAAGGATTAGAAGTATCTATTTCTATTTAAGATGAATGAGTTCTCCCTGGAGTTATCAATTCATTCAGTAAGTTTCTACCAAGTGCCTTCCTAGGAACTGTGCTAAGTACTACAGATTAGGTATTAATATACTGTGAGTGCAGATAGGAGGAGAAAGAACAGAAACAGGCTGTTTGATTTCACCATGGTCAATGCTCTGATGCGCCAAACACAGGAGGTTCTGGGAACATATAGGCAGTGACCAAACTTTTGAATATAGGAAGATTTTCTGGAAAAGATGACATGTAGTAGACAGCTGACAGTTGAGTTTACCAGGTTCAGAACCTAAGTGATAATAATCTTTTTATCATAAAATTTTAAGTGTGGTAGAGAATAAAAGTTCTGAATTAAATGTTGAATGAAATGTGTTATGAATAGAAGATGATGAAATGTGTCTTTGTTAACTAAGAAGAGATTGAGTAGTGAGCTTCAGATCATAGGAATTACTTTAACCAAGACAATGGGTAGGTATTTCCAGGCACAGAAAAGCCAATCTAGAATGTACATGTCTAACAAAATATCAGAAACCTGAGAAATACAAGGAGAAACAGGATGCTCGATGGCAAAGGAGGAGCCTAACACACACATCTCTGAGACTTAAGGAGAGGAAAAGCAGTGGGATTCATACTATGTATTGGGATTAAAATTCTTCAGAAGGAAAACCAAAGCAGTAATACTTTTTAAGAAGCCTTATATTAGAATAATGTAGTTTTTTTTGTTTGTTTTTTGTTTTGAGATGGAGTCTTGCTCTGTCGCCCAGGCTGGAGTGCAGTGGCGCGATCTCCACTCACTGCAAACTCCGGGTTCACGCCATTCTCCTGCCTCAGCCTCCCGTGTAGCTGGGACTACAGGCGCCCACCACCACGCCCGGCTAATTTTTGTATTTTTGGTAGAGACGGGGTTTCACCGTGTTAGCCAGGATGGTCTCAATCTCCTGACCTCGTGATCCGCCCATCTTGGCCTCCCAAAGTGCTGGGATTACAGGCGTGAGCCACCGCGCCCAGCCTAGAAATTTTATAGGTAGAAACTTGACCGGGCATAGTAGGTCATGCCCTTAATTCCAGCACTTTGGGAGATGGGTGGATTGCTTGAGTTCAGGAGTTTGAGATCAGCCTAGGCAACATAGCAAAGCCCCATCTCAAACAAACAAACAAAAAAAATTGGTAATATTTTATCAGGATAGTCTATAAATAATGCTTTAATCTGCTCAAATCTTTATAAACCATCTTAGCCGGTGGCTTACGCCTATAATGCCAGCATTCTGGGAGGTCGAGGTGGGCTGATTACTTGAGGTCAGGAGTTCCAGATCAGCCTGGCCAACATGGTGAAACCCCTCTCTACTAAAAATACAAAAATTAGCTGGGCATGGCAGCAGATGCCCGTAATCCCAGCTACTTGGGAGGCTGAGGCAGGAGAATCACTTAAACTTGGGAGGCGGAGGTTGAAGTGAGCCCAGGTCGTGCCACTGCACTACAGCGTGCGACAGAGTGAGAGTCTGTCTCAAAAAAAAAAGATCTTTATAAACCGTTTTCATAAGTTCTGAAGGAAAAACAGTTCCTAGCCCCTGGAAAACTTAAGTTTTACAGAGACAGTTAAAAACACATGACAGATTACATACCTGCTAATACAGGATAGTATATAATTAAGTCGTAAGTGAGTAAGAATGTATTTCCTCTAGAAATTAAAAGAGAAGCCTGGGTGTGTTGGCTTATGCCTGTAATCTCAGCAGTTTGGGAGGCCGAGGCGGGCGGATCACCTGAGGTCAGGAGTTCAAGACCAGCCTAACCAACGTAGTGATACCCTGTCTCTACTAAAAATACAAAAATGAGCCAGGTGTGGTAGTAGTCACCTGTAATCCCAGCTACTCGAGAGGCTGAGTCAGGAGAACTGCTTGAACCTGGGAGGCGAAGGTTGCAGTGAGCCAAGATCACGCCACTGCACTCCAGCCTGAGCGACAGAGCGAGACTCCATCTTAAAAAAGAGAGAAAAAAAATGTTAAGTGGGGGATTGGGTGGGGGTAATCAGGGAAGGCTTCCCTGAAGGACACAGAGGCATGAAAATGGTGAACCTCTCAACCCATCTCCATATGTATAACCTGGCAAGAAGTTATTGACCAGTGTCTAGTTATGCAAGGGGATTTGCTTATTTCTTCACAAAAGCCAGTCAGATTTTAATTGCTACTGCCTGAGACCCCTGTGAGGCCCAGGAAACAGGCCCTTTATTGCTTGAGCAAACTCTGGCTGGCTGCAATCTTCCCCTTCTAGGATGAATGAATCTTGAGAGATGGAGGGACTTAAAGAGATGATGATGTGATGATAGCTAACATTCAGTGGTTACATACATTACCTCATTTAGTCCCTACAACTTCGTGAGGTTAGGTAATGATGTTCCCATTGTATATATGAAAAAACTCAACTTTGGAAGTTTAATGACTTGTACAGAGTCATTAAAGTCATAGAAGTCAGTGGTGGAACTGAGATTTAAAGTAGGCAGTCTAACTGCATAGCCACACTCTTCACAAGTCTGTGCTATAACTGCCACCAGAGTTCACCCACAACATTCTGTGACCTTAACTGGAATTTTACAGATGAGAGTCTGGATAACACATGGCTAAACAGGACTGACACCATGATTCAGACCCCTGGCCCCCTGCCAGCACCACAACTCACGTCCACTGTACTGCGGGAGAACAGCCGGCCCATGGGAGACCAGATTCAAGAACCTGAGTCTGAACATGGTTCTGAACCAGACTTTTTACACAAGTAAGTAGCAAAAATTTGTCTTCTTGGCAAAAAACCTTTAAAGAAAGTAAAACTATTTAAGAAAAACTTTATTTGTTCATCAGAACATATTGCTGGTCACTTCATGATAAAAGAAGCCAGAAACAGAGGGTAAAAACCTTATGTGAGAAGAGCTATACAAAATCTGCAAACATTGTTGAAGATATCAGTTCCTGGAAGTTCACAGACCTTTAAATGTATGGTGTCTCACCAAGTGCTAATTTCAGTTAGCATTTGCATTTTCATTGGGCAGGTCTGTTTCTTCTCAGGGACTTGCCAAGAAATGCAGGTTACTTCCTAGGCAAGAAAACCTGTAAGAGCCTATGTTGTCAGTAGTCTGAACACCAAATAGACTATATGACCTTTATCATCCATTTAATTAATATTTTGTCTTGTTACATTTATATTTTAAACTCAAACTTCTCATGGATTAAGAATTTTTAAGATCTTACTTGATAAATTCTGAGAATAGTTGCCCTCAAAGAGAGAATCAAGGTCTTACCTTTTCTCCGTGCTAGTAATTAAAATGTTTTCTAGTAGACAGGCCTCTGCAAATTGTAGAGAAAGCAGAGGGTGATGGTGTGTTTTGCTTATAAAAATCTTTTTTGGTTTTCCATCCAACTTTGAAATTCTCTGAGCTCCTAACTTATGTTTCTGTGTATGGTGGGGTAATGCTGTGAATTACTCTGATGGATAAGAGGGAGAACTCTCACTTGTACTCAACAAATTTAGTTAGGTTGAAAATGAAAGAGACAGTGTTAGAAGTATCAAATCCTGGCTTTTCATAAGACCCCTTTGCTCTAAGGCATCAGCCTGCAAACCCAAGAGGATACTCACTGTCACCCATGGTATAACTGGGCTTTCTTGTGCTGCCAAGTATCCTAGAAGGTGGTTTGCCTTATGGCAAGCATCCCAAGATGGGTGAGCTAACCAATATCCCCACCCCTCTTCCTACAGGGTGGGTTTCTCCTTATTTTAGCAGCCTGCCTTGCCTCTCTGACCTTACCATTTGTCAGTCGCTGTGGCTGTGGTCTGCCTTCTTTTCCCTGCTCCAGGTTTATAGGTTTAATCAAGGTGGTGGCCCCACATGATATAAAGACAGCTTAGAAACAAGTTCATGTGACAGTTTGTATTGGCTAAAAAATCACTAAAGTTTCCTGGCTGGGCATAGTGGCACATGCCTGTGATCCCAACTATTCAGGAGACCAAGGAATGAGAATTGCTTGAACTCGGGAGGCAGACATTGCAGTGAGCCAAAATCGCGCCACTGCACTGCAGCCTGGGTGACACAGACTCTGTCTCAACACCACCACAAAAGAAAATTAGCCAGGCATGGTGGTGCATGCCTGTGGTCCCAGCTACTTGGGAGGCTGAGGTGAGAGCATCACTGGAGCCTGGGAGCCAGAGGTTGTAGGGAGCCAAGATCATGCCACTGCACTCCAGCCTGGGTGACAAGAGTGAGACCCTGTCTTAAAAAAAGATTCCTGGCCGGGCGCGGTGGCTCATGCCTGTAATCCCAGCACTTTGGGAGGCCGAGGTGAGTGGATCACAAGGTCAGGAGATAAAGGCCATCCTAGCTAACACGGTGCAACCCTGTCTCTACTAAAAATACAAAAAATTAGCTGGGCGTGGTGGTGGGCACCTGTAGTCCCAGCTACTCTGGAGGCTGAGACAGAAGCAGCCCTTGAACCGGGGAGGCGGAGGTTGCAGTGAGCCAAGATTGCGCCCCTGCACTCCAGCCTGCATGACGGAGCAAGACTCCATCTCAAAAAAAAAAAAATCCTTAGAGGCATATTTACACACACTTCCATGTGCCAGTAAGTTTAGAGTACAAGTGCAGATTTGACTCCATAAAGACTGAGGAAAAGCTGCTATATTCTTCCTTGTTGAATTCTGGAGAACTTTCTGCTGCCAAGCCAACATAATTTGTTAGTTAGGGGTCTGCTGTCCAGCTAGGTACACCTGTGAGTGGGGCACCAGCCCAAGACAGAGGTCTTGAGAGCCCTTGTTTGGCAGAGATTTGGTTGATAGTTTAAGCATCTAACAGTTAGCCTCAGCCAGCTTCTCTTGGAGACTTACAGATATCTTTGGGCAACTTACTGCCTTTTTAATAAAAAGGCACCAGAATAAATCCAACTAATTCCTACTACATGAGATTAAGTAAACCTACCTTGGCTTTCTTAGCATGGGCCTCATTAGTTAAATTCATCATCTGCTGCTACAAAATTAATAATAGTACCCTCTCTTAGTCCTCAGATGCAGATCTCTTGGTTAGGCCAGCCGAAGTTAGAAGACTTAAATCGGAAGGACAGAACAGGAATGAACTACATGAAAGTGAGAACTGGAGTGAGGCATGCTGTGTAAGTGTTACATTGAGTGTCACAAGAACATAACTATGTGATGCCCATCATTTTGTGAAATGACTTGGGTATCTTTGATGTTCGGTCTTAGGAGTTAAAATTACAATTCGTGATATGCTATGCAGCATAGGATAGGAAAGGAGGACGTGAGTTCTTCACACTTTCAGCATTTAAATCCTAACTTTGCCACTTGGCAGCTGCATGGCCTTGGGCAAGCTCTAAAACATCTGTGCTGGCTACGCGTGGTGGCTCTGCCTGTAATCCCAGTACTTTGGGAGGCAGAGGCAGGCAGATCACTTGAGGTCAGGAGTTCAAGACCAGCCTGGCCAACATGGTGAAACCCCGTCTCTACTAAAAATACAAAAAATTAGCCAAGCATGGTGGCGGGCACCTGTAATCCCAGCTACTTGGGAGGCTGAGGGAGGAGAATCGCTTAAATCCAGGAGGTGGAGGTTGCAGTGAGTCGAGATCACGCCACTGCATTCCAACCTGGGCAACAGAGCAACACTCCATCTCAAAAAAAAAAAAAAAAAAAAAATTCTGTGCTTCAGATTCCTCATTTGTAAAATTGGGATAATAGTACCAATAAGAATTTTAGGGTAATTGACACATAGCTAAATAAATATTAACAACCATTATTATTGAATTGTACTTCCTTTTGATGTGTGAGATGAAATCTTGAATGAACCAAAGGAATGATTCTTAATTGTCTTGGAGTTCATTATAATTTGTGTAGTCTGTAGGTCATGATTGGAAGGTGTACTTCAGTTGGTTAGAGTAACTTTCATCTGAGAAACAGCCAGGATTCCAAATGGTGGAGTCTAATGAGCTTTCTGACAATACCTTTTTCTTACCAGTCGGGGTCTAATGGAGGAAGATGCTGAGCCCATCTTTGAAGATGTGATGATGTCATCCCGAAGCCAGTTAGAAGATATGAATGAAGAATTTGAGGACACCATGGTTATTGATCTGGTAGAGAAATTCACTGTATTTTTCTTTTGTTAAAATATGTGGGGGCATTGGTGTAAGATGACCCTCTTAGGTTGGGCACGGTGGCTCACGCCTGTAATCCCAGCAGTTTGAGAGACTGAGGTGGGTGGATCATCTGAAGTCGGGAGTTCGAGACCAGCCTGACCAATATGGAGAAATCCCGTCTCTACTAAAAATACAAAATTAGCCAGGCGTGGTGGCACATGCCCATAATCCCAGCTACTCGGGAGGCTGAGGTTGCAGTGAGCCGAGATTGTGCCATTGCACTCTAGCCTGGGCAACAAGAGCGAAACTCCGTCTCAAAAAAACAAACAAAAATTATCCTCTTATTTTCAGAATTCTGGGAGGAAGGGTGAGGTGAGGAGGAGGTAACATTGACCAAAAACAGTGGGCATTTGGATGAGCTTGGGTGTTTTTCAAGCCTGCTTTCAAAGCAGTCATATTTTAAATTCTGATACTAACAGAAACTGGTTCTTTCTTTTTACCTTCTTCGAAGAGAGCTCATACTAGATCTGTCTTTCAGCATCACATGTGTATCTGGCCTCTTGTGCTTTAAATTTGAGCCTGACAAAAATCTGCAGTGCTTCAGCGTAACAAAATGCCGAATATGGGACTTAATTTGTTCAGTATGAGAAGACATGTTTGAGATATGGACTAACCATAGGTGATACTAAGAACTTATTTTTACAGGAATAGTAATGAATGGTGGTTATGTTTTTTTCAAAAGTTCTCATCAGTTATAGACAACACATTGAAGTAGTTATAGGCAAAATTACATAGGAAAGGAAAAACAGTGAGACTCAGTGGAATAAGACTGGCCACATGTTTGACAGTTTTTGAAACTGGGTGATGGGTACATAGAAATTCATCATGCTGCTTTTTCTGTGTATTTTCTAAGGCTGCCATAATAAATACCACAGACTGAGTGGTTTAAACAAATTTTTATTCATTCATTTATTTATTTATTTATAGATGGAGTCTCGCTGTGTCACCAGGCTGTAGTGCAGTGCTGTGATCTTGACTCACTGCAACCTCTGCCTCCCAGGTTCAAGCGATTCTCCTGCCTCAGCCTCCCAAATAGCTGGGACTACAGGCGCATGCCACCACACCCAGTTAATTTTTATATTTTTAGTAGAGACGGGGTTTCACCATGTTGGCCAGGATGGTCTTGATCTCTTGACCTCGTGATCCGCCCGACTCGGCCTTCCAAAGTGCTGGGATTACAGGCGTGAGCAACCACGCCTGGCCCAGAAATTTATTTTTTTATCACATTTCTGGAAGCTAGAAGTCCTGAGATGGTGATTTATTTTGAGGCTTCTCTCCTTGGCTTGTAGATGACTGCCTTCTTCCTTGTCTTTAGATGGTCTTTCCTATATGTGTGTCTCCTTCTTATCAGGGCCCCAACTATATTCAATTAGGACCCACCCATTTGACCTCATTTTACCTTAATTACCTCTTTAAAGGCCCTGTCGCCAAATACTGGCATCTTCTGAGGTACTGGATTAGGACTTCAGCATGCACATTTTGAAGGGACATAATTCAGCCTGTAACATTGTGCTTTGTATGTTGTGAATTTTCCATAATGAGAAGTTTTTGTAAGTTTTATAAATATAAATGAGATCATATTACTCCAATCTGCCCCCACCATCCAATAACTTTCCATCTACCTGCTTTGGGGAATTCAGAGGTTTATCACCTAGTAGTTAATCAATTTTATAAATTTTTCTGTGATTTGAAAGGGAAGATATGGCCTGGGCATGTAGGCCCAAAGTTATTTATATGTATTTACATGTTCAGTGTATTCATTATAGTTTGAAAGTTTTGTGCGTTGTTTTTGCCAACATAATTAAAAGCCAAAAGTACGGTTTTTAAAAAATCTATTTCATATAAAAGCCAGATTCTCTTCTTCCTTTCAAAATTGACTCTTAGCAGGTCTATATATTTATGATACTGTCAGAAATATTAGCTGATTATCACAATTCATTGTCTTAATGATCTCAGAAAAAAATTAAGAAACCTGTTTCTCTTTCCAGCCTCCATCAAGAAATCGGCGAGAGAGAGCTGAGCTAAGGCCAGACTTCTTTGACTCTGCAGCTATCATAGAAGATGATTCAGTAAATGTTAAATTATTACTGCTTTTTATTTATGGTTCCTGGGTCCTGTTTATGCATGAAATTAATAATTATGTTTCTCATCATTTTTCTAGGGATTTGGAATGCCTATGTTCTGAAGTCTGAAGAAAATTTACAAATCTGGAACTCTATTATTTAGAGCTAGAGGCCTATATACTGTGATAGCTTGTATGGGGAAAAACACTTTTGATGTGATCTGATTTGTTTTTTAATCAAATGATTAAGGTCAATCCCTTTTTGCAGTGACGGAAGAGGAGCATGTAAATTACCCAAGGGAATGTTGGTGAATGTCCACTCAGAAAGACTGACCTGAAAATCATTTGTGTCCTACTATTGGACTTATCCCAATACAGATGTGTGTGTTTTTCTGGAGGGAGGAAGAAATTTTAAATTTTTAAAACAGCTGTCAAGATAAACACTGTTATACACCTGTTTTATGAAAACTCAACATTGAGTAAAAAAAAAATATTTTTAACTTTATTTTCCTGTTGTACAATTTAAAAACCGTTTTAACATTTTGCCTTTTTATGTTTTAAAAGCTAACCATTTTTATTAAACCTATGAGTAAGCAGCTCATCCTAATTGCCGAAGAGTGTTTTGGAGCTCACTGGATTTGGTTGACCTTTGTGGAACACAAATAATGAAGGAGCAGAACATTGACAAGCTAAGATGAAATTCTGACATAGTGCATCTCTGCCAAAAACCACACACCCTCTGTGGATATGGATATGAAATTCCCAGATTTTATATACTCTTGAATAAAAAGGTTTATTTTTATTTATAAGTGGGCATAAAATAAGAAATGTCCATGCAGCCATTTTTCCAACAGATGCTGTACACGGTTCATTTTATATAGACTAGGGAGATTCAAATACAGTGCATTTTCTATTGGTATTTGTTCTGTGCATTTTTAGCAACTTCTACCAGCAAATAAAGTATTCTCAGTAAAACGAAAATGATTCTCAAGTTATCAGTTTGCTGTTTTTACCACTTATTTCATGCCCTGCCAAATTCAAGTTACACAGACTTCCATTTTCTTAAGATAATCATGAAGAAATCCTTTATCATCATTCGAAAGTAATTTTAAGTGTAACATAATTGTGTCTACTTCCCATGCACTTAATACCCTTATGCGCTAATTTTGTGAATTAAGTTTACTGATTATAGAAGTATGTGCTGCATAGAAGTCTGTGCTTAGAGGGTGAAGTTCCTAAGCTTACCTTGAATTACAGCTACATTTCAGTGTTAAATGTGCATATTAAGAATAATTCTTTTGGGGAAAGAAATTATGAATCTTCAGGACAGTCTACAATGGTTTAGAGTTGCATTCTGCCTAGACTTTTATGACTTGCTGCTATTGTTTTAAAAACCCCACTTAGTTTCTTCCTTCAGATTTCTAAAGTAAGCCTCAGAATTTCCAAACCAATCCATCCACAGCTGTTTCTGGGCTGGTTTTTAAAGTAGTTGCAACAGAATCATGAGGCTTTCCCTTTTTTTATCAAATACAAAACACATTTTTAAAAATTCTGCACACCCAGTGATCATCTTTTGTGCGGGAAAGCAAGATGGATGATTTTATTCATCCTTTTAGTAAAGACACAAAACAGATTTTTCTCAACATTTGTACAGTTCTGAAAAAACCTGGTCACCAAAATGTTTTCTCTGCTAATTCAGCAATTCTTGGGCTCCAGTTAGGGGAGCTGGGGCCTCATTTTCTCCCAGAATTGTGGGCTTCACTGGAAGTGAAGGCGCAGGAATGACTGGACTGTCCACCCTAGCCCTGCCTGCCTGTGGTTTTGGCCGGGGAGCAAGCCATGAGGTGCCCTGGCACATGCACAAACTGATCCTTTGTGTGACAGTCTTGTATGGAAAACAGATGCTGACAGAATTGTAGACTACCATGCCACACAAAAAGGCTAAATATCTACTCCAATGGGTTTCCAGTTCAGTTTGAAGTCAATCAAATTTTTGTATTTTCGGTGTCTCCTTGATTGGTTTTGCTAGTAATTCTGTAAATTGTACATTTGCAATATGAGGTTTTTTTCCTTTTGTACAATTTGAAACTGATGCTTCACCTTTCCTTTAATAAACTATTCAAAATCAGGCTTGTGGTAGTCATCCTATTGTTCCTACCAGGTATGGCTTTAAAGAGATGATTTCCTATCCTGTGGCTCTTGAGAGAGTTTGCAATTTCTGATAATCTGTTAAATGACAGCAAGTTAACCGTATCAGTGAGGTGGTGGTTTTGTTGTTTTGGCTTTTTAATTTTTTTTAAGAAAGCAGAATTTAGGACTAGCTCACTTTCTTTCATTCCTTAGATTTCTCTAGAGTGTGTGTAGGCCAAGTCATCTTGGTTTAAGAAGGAGTCGCTTGCAAACTGAGTTTTGCATGAGGCATTCAGGGAACATCCAGTGGCCTGTAGCATGGGTCCTCCTGGCTTGAGACTCTGGGCTTATATGCATAATTGCACCCTGGCAGTGCCCTTTTGAAGACCACATAGATTCAGTGCAGCTGCAGAACTGTTTTCAGCCAGGCATGGTGGCTCACGCCTGTAATCCCAGCACTTTGGAAGGCCAATTTGAGTGGATCACTTGAGCTCAAGAGTTTGAGACCAGCCTGGGTAGCATGGTGAAACTCCATCTCTACAAAAAATAAAAAATTAGCTGGGTGTGGTGGCACACACCTATAGTCCCAGCTACTTGTGAGGCTGAGGTAGGAGGATAGCTTGAGCCCTTAAGGCGGAGGTTGTTGCAGTGAGCAGACATTGCACCACTACTGCACTCCAATCTAGGTAACAGAGCCAGACCCTGTCTCAAAAGTTTTCTCTTGGCATTAGACCTCCTCGCTCTTAAGAAGTCATACCCTACACACTTCATGGGTCTGGCAATATGGGGTGAGTTCCTTAAACAGCCTAATATGCTTATGCAGAAAAGGCAAAGGTGTGGGAGACAAATCGGCAAGTAAGCTTTCCAGGCAGCCAGGGAAGGAAGGTCATGCAAGGATGGTCTGTAATAGCTCATCTTGATGGTTACAAGAGTATGAGACTAGCTGAGGACTTTCCCTTGGGTCAGGCTTGCAAATCTCCAATTTGTGGTTTGACTGTAACTCACTCACTCCCTGTTTGCCCTTGTTCCCAGATAAAAGTCCATCAAGCAGGGACTAATATTTTCATGGGAAACAAAGGTCTGATGCCACTCAGGCTTGGTTTTTTTTTTTTTTTTGCAGGGGGTGGGGGAGACAGGGTCTCAGTCTGTCACCCAGGCTGGAGTGCAGTGGTGTGATCTCAGCTCACAGCAACCTCCGCCTCTGGGGTTCAAGTGATTCTCCTGCCTCAGGCTCTCGAGTAGCTGGAATTACAGGCACCCACCACCACACCCAGCTAAGTTTTGTATTTTTAATAGAGACACGCTTTCACCATATTGGCCAGGCTGGTCATGAACTCCTGAGCTCAAGCCATCTGTCTGCCTTGGCCTGCCAAAGTGCTGGGATTACAGGCATGGGCCACCGCACCCAGCCTTGGGCTTTTCATATTAGACCAAGCTCAGGTAAGATTCTATCCCTGCCCTTCTGAGTGTCTTGTTCTATGGAAATCTCTTACCAGGCACCACTTTTTGAAGAGAATCTTCTCCCAAGAACACATAAAGGGGGTATTTTCACCACCCAGGACAGTAGGGACATGGTCAAAACTTAACTATTGAGGCTGCCACATTGGCTGGAATATGCCAGCTGGATTCCACAGAGGCCCCAGACTGAGGCACTACCTATCAAGTGGCTGTAGCTCCTGCTTGGAATTATAGAAATCCCATGCTGACATCAGAGGTGCAGAGTATGAGGGCCAATAGTTCTCTCTAAAAGGGTAAAGCCATAGCTCTCCAGAAATCCTTTGGAACCAGAAAGACAAAACAGTTACATCTGTTGAATAGGTGAAATGGGCTGATTCATCAACTCCATCAAGAGTTAAGTCCACATGTGGACTTAACACAGGTTTCTTTGGCGGGACAGACCACATCTTAAGCACCAGCACCAGGACAAAGTATCAGTGCAACCAGAGGCAGAAAGTTGGGCTGGGGAGACCAAGGCAGGATCAAAAAAAGAAGCTAGAAGAACTTGGCGACAAAAGCACTTTCTAACAAGCATTAGAAGGCTATGTTGTGGATGTGCTTCCTATTACTCTAGCAACTCAGGTGACTGGCCATCTGTTGTTGGCACTGCTTTGCAAGGGATTCATGCAGGAGATAGGAAAGCTGTCTAAATGTAGTAGCTTTTTGGGTTCTTTGAGACACAAGCCTAGGGGAACAGACCACCAACCTCCCTGACCCCTACTCTTCTGCCAACGCTTAGAAGTCCATCTCACCTTCCTCATCAGCTGAGTGGCAGTACTTTGAAATGATTAGAACACAGGCTTGGGGTCAAACCCATCTGAGTTCAAATCCCAACTTCACCACTTGTTAGCTGTGTAGCTCAGGATGAACTGGCTTAACACAAGGCAGGGGCAGGACCAGCAAGACCCTGGTGGTGCCTCCTACACCACAGCTCACCACATTATCTGCTCTCAGTTTAAAGACAGATGCTTGTCAGCTATCAGCTCAGTGGACCCAAGTATTTCCCATTTTTACAATCCCGTGGTTTTTTTTTTTTTTCCCCTTTAAGGTGAGGGCACCAGCTGGGAAAGGCATTCCCACACAACAGCCAAGAGAATACTCAACTGTCATTATTCTCAAGGCATTCCATGGTCCATGGAGGCTGGTCCACTTGACAAAGCTTCCAAGGTCTTGCAGCGTCAAGTTTCTTTGACCAGCTGAGTTTCTGTACGGGAGTTTCCCCACCATCCAAGGCTTCCGTAAAGCTGCTAGCCCAGTTGCTCTCCTGAGCTGGTTCCTCTACCATCTCAGTATCCAGATTGCACAACCTGGTGAAACACTTCTTGGACTCTTCCCTCCAAAAAGAAAAAAAAGAGCTTGTATATACTTTTGTATGGACCATAGCAGAGACCACGAAAACAAAAACTGTTGGCTCAGAAACTCACAAGGGAAGCAAGGGAGGGACAGAGTGTCCAGGACCACCTATATGGGCTAAGGAGTCTGAAGAACAGGGAGCTCTGGAAGTGGTGCTGGAGCAGAGGAATGCAACAAAATATGGATCTGGAGTTAGTATGGTAGCTGAGAACAGGATTTACAGCTTAGTGGGAGGCCACAGAGATCAGGGAAGAGACTGCTGCAAAAGTCCTTAGAGCCCAACTAGGATTGGTGACTGAAGGAGAGCAGAAAGATGCTTAAAAAATAAAAAAATAAAAAAAAAAAGAATGACTCTTAAGGGCTACTGGGAATGGGGGGTAGGGGAAAATATTTTTGAAACAGGAAAAGAGAATAAACAGTCACACATTAAGTTGACCTTGAAATAATGATTCACTGTCCAAGCAATGCTTAACAGATCTCTGGAGCCAAGGGAAAGCCATCAGTAGTGGGAGGGCCCTGGGTTTTCACCACAGAGGATGCCCAGGGGGCATCTTGGATCAGCACTCCATGGTTGGTCCTTATGCTCAAACTTAATCTCCAGTTCTGGTAAAACTATTAATGCTTTACTTAGTAAAATCAAGTCAACAGTGTAGGAGGAAAGGCTTTAAAGTGGTTTACAAACAAAAATGACTAATTCACATTGATAACCACTCAGTTACTAATTCAGGTAACTTAACCATATATCTTCAGTTTAAAGACAAAACGAACTACAAAGAAGTCTTGAACTTTAGATGGTTTATTGTTGATAGAGCTGTAGTGATTCTGAAACTTGAATTTATGGTAGCACTGAGCAAATGAGTGAAATATATTGAGAATAATGGGAGCCAGGGTTATTACTGCTGTAGTAAGAGAGACAATACAGAATGAAGGAAGGCAAAGAAGCACCCATGGTGTTGGATTAGAAGTTTCAGTATGAACTCATGATTTAAAAGTACGACAAATATGTATTCATATATACATGTGTCGCACATATATATACACACTTATTTGCATAAATTTTCCTAGTTCTGTCTGCTGAAATGCCTCAAAGCAATGATACTCCAGTATCAATGTGAACCCTTAGTGACAATTTTAGCTTCTAAATGACATACCTACTAAAAGAAACTAAGAAACTACTACTATATACTACTACATACCTATTAAAGAAACTCCTTGGAGAAATTGCTGATTCCCGGGTTGGGCAAGGAAAATATAAGATAAGCCTAGAGCATCATCTTGTCAGAAAATAAGGAAATACTAAAAAAATCAGTGGGATATATTAAAAGGACCTGGGGAGCCAGGTTGAAGGAGCTCCCACTAACCAAATTGGGTCATTTTAAGCATCAAAATGAGTAACATTAAATATTTTTAAAAAATCAACAAGTCCAGGCAAGCCACACCAACAAGTCCAAGTGGCTCACGCCTGTAATCCCAGCACTTTGGGAGGCTGAGGTGGTCAGATCACGAAATCAAGAGATCGAGACCATCCTGGCCAACATGGTGAAATCCTGTCTCTATTAAAAATACAAAAATTAGCTGGGCATGGTGGCACATGCCCAGCTACTCGGGAGGCTGAGGCAGAAGAATCACTTGAACCTGGGAGGCAGAGGTTGCAGTGAGTTGAGATTGCGCCACAGCACTCCAGCCTGGCAACAGAGTGAGACTCCGTGTCAAAAAAAAAAAAAAATCAACAAGTCCAAAATGATACTAAGAAAACAAAAACAGGAGAAAAGAAAGCTCTTCCTTACCTAGAGTTCCAACTAATAAATATAGATATAAGAGTTAGAAACAACATTTTATAATCAATGCAGAATCACTGATTGAGGCAAGAATCATCAATGAATACTCAAATTATTGGTGAAAGTTTAATTCTTTGAGACAGAATCTAGCTTTGTCACCCAGGCTGGAGCGCAGTGGGGTGATCTCGGCTCACTGCAACCTCCGCCTCCCAGGTTCAAGCGATTCTCCTGCCTCAGCCTCCTGAGTAGCTGGGCGCATACCTCCACACCTGGCTAATTTTTGTATTTTTAGTAGAGAGAGGGTTTCACCATGTTGGCCAGGATGGTCTCGAACTCCTGACCTAAGGTGATCTGCCCACTTC